ACTTGTTCAACTTGATGTTTCAGTTAGGAAGTATCTTCTTTGCATCTCACCTTCCTCTCAAATGTCTCCGAGACCGCCAACATGTCTTCATCCCTTGATTGCTCGTTTACCCCCTCAAATTCGCTTCCTGCCCTACCCCGCAGTTAGGATCATATCTATTTTGGTTGCTATCAATATCATCATTTGGGTAGCAGTGGCTATCATTTTACGTTCTCACCCACTTCTATCTTCATCTGCTGTACTTTCATATACATTTGGTTTGAGACATGCTCTGTAAGTTCTGATTTCTGATTCTTCTAAAACCACTTTTTACCTTGTGATCATGTGATTCCCTACTCTCAAACTTCGACTCATCCAATCCAGCGATGCCGATCACATATCCGCAATCGATCTTATGACCCGTCGTCTCATCGCTTCTGGTTCTCCTCATACCTCTCAACCAGTGACAGTTGGTACTTGGTTCTCGTTAGGCCACTCTACTATCGTAATCATAACCTGTATCGTCGTTGCAGCCACTTCTGGCGCCCTTGAGTCACGCTTCAACTCTTTCAGTAATATAGGTGGAATTATCGGTACTGGTGTCTCTGCTGGTGTACTCATTATACTTGGAATTGGGAATGCGTGGATTTTGTGGAAATTGGTGGTTAAATTACGAGCGGTTCTGAGGGAAGAAGTCGATGGAGATGGAGGTGAAACGGGATTAGGCTTTGATGGTGGGGGAATCATGATGAGAGTTCTTCGAAGAGTCTTCAAAGTAATTGATCGTCCATGGAAAATGTACCCTCTGGGTGTACTATTCGGACTGGGTTTCGACACTAGTAGTGAGATTGCGGTTCTGGGAATTGCATCTGTGGAAGGTGCCAAAGGAACTAATATTTGGCTAATTTTGATTTTTCCTGTTTTATTTACTGGTATGATTTTCTTCTTCTTTTTCTTCTTTTTCATTACCTAGATAATACTACAATATAGAACATTTTTTAAATGCCTTGTACTAACAAAATAACAGCCGGCATGTGTCTAATCGACACCACCGACGGCGCACTAATGATGACTCTCTACACATCTACTTCTCTCGCCCGCGACACAGTAGCTATTCTCTTCTACTCAATTGTCCTAACTGGGATTACAGTCCTCGTGGCTATCTGTATCGGAGTCATTCAATTACTTTCCCTAATAGCGAATTTCTCCACAGGACCTTTCTGGGATGGAGTTAATGCTGCAGGAGATCACTTTGACGTTATTGGTGGCGGTATCTGTGGAGCTTTTGTAGTTTTTGGAGGCGCGAGTGTATTACTTTATGGCCCTTGGAGAAGATGGGTTGGGAAGGGGAGAGTTGGAAGAAGAAGTGTAGGAAATGGAGAGACAGAAGTGGAATTGGGAGATCTGAGTAAGGAAGTTGAGACGAAAGATGGAGATGAGAAGGATGTTGCGAGGGTTACAGATAAAGCTGTTGAGGCAAAGTAGAAATGTTGATTAGGATATAGATTGAATCTTTAGATTTGCATATATTATACTGAAGTACATCTTCTGCATTACCTGGGTATCTGACTATAATTAACTGTTGGAGTGGAGGAGGGTATAAAGATGGAGTGATTGGGTGAGAGTTGACTAAGCAATTCAACTTGCCATTTTGAACTTCTCGACACCCGTAACCTTATATTACAACTCTTCGTCCCGTGTCTTAATTGGTATCATCAGCTCAGAGTTCCGTTTGGGAAATTCAAATGAGATGGGAATTTTGATAAATATGAAACGATGGATCTTAAATGCAAATGATATATCAAACGGGAAATGTGGTACAGGTACCTTTATAAATTAAATCTCTAATGTTTTGCATGGGATGGGGTAGGTTAAGTTGCAGCTATCATGGACGGAATGAAGCTCCGAGAGGTAGGTAACCTTAGATGGAGCAATAACGTCATTGAAACGACGTTCTTTGGCATGAGGGGCAAGGAGCTCTTTGACGTAAAGGTAAAGAAAGCATGCATTTCTTATTTGTAAATTATGAGAAGTTTCAACACATCCACCCCAACACAGCATTAAGGTAGATTGAAATTAAATATGGCCGAACAAGATACACATGCCTCGCATTTTGGAGGCCATCCTATTCCTACTGAGAAAGTCACTGAGAGGGTATCGAAATGGAATTTGGCAGGTCTAGGTAAGACTTCATGTTTGTTGGTCAATTCAACAAAGAATATTTCAATTGACGACAGATGATAGGCAAGGCATCAACAAATAATACTTCAAACTCTGCCGTCTCAGAACAAGATCGTTTTGGATCCAACTCATCCATCATTCCACCATGGAATCCACAAGTCAACGCCACAGCAATTGGTTTACTACAACGTAGTTTTCTCCCCGCTCTAACCACCAACACAACCCTCTCGCTCATCTCCTACACCATCGCCCGTCTCACCAACCGACTCGATCTCAAAGACATCCTCTGGCCCCTCGGTCCCCTCATCACTTCCTGGACCCTCGCCCTCGAACGCCACAACTTCGACCTCTCACAAACATGGACGCATCTCGCCTATCCTCAAAAACTCATCATGGCAGGTCTCACCGCCTGGTCTCTCCGTCTCTTCTACCGCATCACATCCCGAGCTATCTCTCGCGGCGAAGACGACGCGCGCTATACTTCTTTACCCAAAACAAGAGACTTTTGGAATAAAACACTGTTTTCCACATTTCTGCCTGAAGCACTTGTGCAATCGGTTATTGCGCTTCCGTTTGCGATGAGTTTGGTGGCTCCGGAGGCGCTGATTGGAAATCAGCCACTTCCTGGAAATCCGGGTTGGCAAGTGGCTAATGCGGCTGGAGTGTTCCTTTTCTCGACGGGATTTGCTTTGGAAGCGGGTGCGGATTGGCAGTTGGAGAGTCATAAGAAGGAACGAACGGTGGGGTTGATGAGAGATGGGGTTTGGAGTATTGTTAGACATCCTAAGTATGTATTTCCTTTCTCTGCTCCGTCATTTTCTCGTCACTTGATTAATTGATTACATAACTAACATTAATCTCCCCCATAGCTATCTAGGAGATGCACTCATCCACGCCTCTTTCCCACTCATTCTCTACGGAGCAGGAATCTTCCATCCTCTCATGCTTCTGGCACCTCTTGCAAACTATGCCTTCTTGAGATATGTAGGAGGAGATGGACAGAATGAGAAGAGTCAGGAAGAGAGGTATGAGGAAAGAGATTTGAAAAAAGCAAAGGATTTGAAGAGTTATAAGACGGAGAAAAATAGTTTCTGGCCACGGAAAGAGGAGTTGAAGAATGAATGGACTTGGATGGTTGTGGGGGCTGGTATGGTAGGTGTGCTTGGTGAGTGGGGGGCGAGGAAGTTTTTGTAAGTGTTGATGAGATGGTGGTAGTTTTGAATGGGATTGTGGTGGATGAGGGGTTTGAGGATGCGGATGCGGATCTGGAGGGAATGGGATGGATGTGTAAGATTGTGTATGAATTTACGAGTAGTAGGTACTTGCCTTCTTTAATTGTTTTATTTAATAAATGAATGAAGTATTGCAATGTTGATTGAATTCTGCTTTATTTACTTGGAAAAATATACTGAACACACACTTGTACTTCTCGATAGGAGAAGCATAAAAGCTATGATGCATTTCCACGGCGAAAGTTGTTAACTCCTCGATAGATTCTTTCGATTTCTTCTGAAGAGCTCCTAACCATCACATCTGTTTAGTAACTCCAGGATCAAGCTTTCTCCCTCAACTGGATCTTCAAACACCGAATATGTGATATCACACCCAAACGCACCTTATGACTTACCTGACTTATGGAATATGGTCTTGCGTTTATTATATACGCTGGTTCTAGGCATTCTCTCTTACTTCTGCATAATTGAGATGCAACTCTCTGGTTCTGTGTGGTTTCTAGAGGGTTTGGAGGAAGATTCCTGGGGTGGTTTGGTTTGTTTGATAGGTAGGTGGTTGGATGGTTGGATTGCGTGTGGGCTTGGGTCTTGTAGGTTGGTTGGGGGGTTGGATGGGAGGTTGGATGGGAGGTAGGTATCTTGCATTTGCATTTGCGTTTACATATCCATATACATCTGCGGAATCGTACATGTTGTATTGGTATTGGTATTGGTATTGGTATCAGTATCTGTATCTGCAACTATATATGCATATCTTACATGCAAGTATGCATATTTTCTTTTCTGTTTCTTCTTCCTTTCTTTCTCACATTGATGGAACTCTTATGGGATGTTGGAAAAAAGTAAACTTCTCTTTTATTTTCTTTTATTTTCTCTTACCTCTGACTTCTCTAATCGTGAAGTGAATTTTGCTTCACTTACTTTGATCACTTTATTTAACTTATTTAACTTACTTTTCTCACTCACCCTCGGTAAATTAAACACCAAACAAATAAACACCAAACTGAATAAACAAACAACGCTTTAGAATCTGACAAGAATCTGACAAGAATTACTTTACTTCCTGGATATCAATGAATGAATAAATGAATGAATCATTTCATGCTATCAAATAAATTCAACGCGCGGAGAATTATACGGAATCTTTACACTTTTGATACGTGTTGTTGAGAGGGGATTTGGTGTGTGTTTGGGTTTACATTGAAGATACTGAAGATATTGAGAGAGAAATCGAAATCAAGATTGAAGCAAACATCAACACTTCCAGGTATCGAACCTTTTTCTCCATTCATTCTAGGAAGGAAATAGAGGAAGAGAGAGAGAGAGATACACGACAAATACGTGATTATTAGTACTCTCTAGATCTGAGCTTGGATCTGGATTTAAATTCAACTTCAGATAACTAGCTGCAGGAATTGAGGACAGGAAAGAAAAAGGGGATTTTTTTCAACGCGCGGTTTTGAACCGCCGCGAAGTTTTGCAAAGGGCGCTTGTATTGCGCTTCTGAGAGAGAATACATACAGGTTGGAAATTGTGTAGACCTATTTTCCTCATCCGGAATTATTTTTCGAGAGAGTTGGGAAGAAGGGGAAAAGAATAGAAAGATTGATGGATGCAATAGAAGAAGAAATTGCTAGACAATTGTGGAAAGAACAATTTGCGCAGGGTGAGAGGATTGGGAGAGAAAGAAACGGGGAGGAGATGGATATGCAGGGTGGAGGGATGGGGAGTGGAAGTGGGAGTGTGGGTAGAGGGATTGGTGGATTAAATTTAGATGGGTTGGATGAGATGGAGAGGGGGAAGGGGAAGGGGAAGGAGAGAGATGGTGGTTTGAGAGTAGGAGGAGAAGGTAGTGGGGTGGGGTTTGCGGGATATGTGAATGCTGGGTTGGGGAATGGAAGTGGAAATGGACAGTTTGGGGGAAGGGAATCAGGACTTGAGGAGAATGAAGTGGTGTTGGAGGGGCCGTTGTTGGCATTGAGAGAGTGAGTTTCCTTTTTCACGAGTTTCCTCTGATGCTGTTGAATTGTTTGGACTTGAAGATCAAATGGAGAGAGTAATATGGAGTTAAGATAGATAAGTTCACGAAATTGAAGCTAACACGGTTTGATAGAGCTCTACTCGAAGGACGGTTCTCAGACTTGACAATCTTCCACGGTGTGCGAGTATGGAATGCACATAAAGTAGTTGTGTGTTCGCAATCCCCAGTTCTGGAGAGTATGATTGATAATACCGGAGTGTGCAATATGGTTAGTTCTCTATCCCCTCTTCCCCTCAAAGAAACACCAACCCACTAACAACACCCTCTAGTTCGGTTCCCCCACCAAACCCAGCATGCTCAACCTCTCCTCCTTCCCCCTCGACTCCATCATCGCCCTCCTAGAATACCTCTACACATCCGCCTATTCCATCCCCTCTCCCCCACCCACCAGCTCCCCCAGCTCTTCCACCTACCTCTCCGGCCCCAGCTACTCTCTCCCCCTGCACGAACAAATCTTCTACCTCGCTTCACACCTGCAAATCCCTGCATTAGAAACCCTCGCCGCGGTATCCTTCCGTCACACGCTGCATACGCAAATTTCCGATCTGGATATCTATTTCGATTGCATCAAGCGGATATACGGGAAAACGACCGCAAAGAATCCGGGACTGCGAAACGCGTTGGTGGAAGCGGCGGTGCAGGAATTAGAGGGGATGTTGGGGAATGAAGAGGTGAAGAGGAAGTTGTGGAGGGTGATGAGTGAGAATGGAGAGTTTTGGGAAGAGGTGTTGAGAGCGTTGGGGAGGAGGACGGAGATTAGAGTTAAGGAGGTGGTGAGGGAGGTGAGGGTTCCCGTGGAGGTCGAGGTAGAGAGGATTATTGAGAGGGAGGTTGAGGGGAGAGCGAATGAACAGGAAGAGGAAGATGGAGAGGGTGGGGAAGAGGAAGAGGGAGAGGGAGAGGGAGAGAAAGAATGGACTCTATGTCCGGATTGTGGACCTAGGGACGAAGGAGAAGAATATGAGTTTAGGTGCACTTGTAGAGTGTGTGGGGTTGAGAGGATATTGAGCTTCTCTTGAATGCATGTACATTTGTATGGTACAGGAAATAAAGGTGAGAGATGTAATTTGGGGGGGGGGAATGTATGAGTACACTAGTTCCAGCACGATTTACGAATGTATGAGATAGTAATGAATCATATGAATGATTGTTGAGCTGATGAGAGGATCTGAATTCTGAAGATCGAGGTACAGCCTCTTGACTCTGGTTCAAAATGAATGAGGTGTACTGCATGCAGTTCACAACTACTCTCAAAATAATAAATGAATATACAAAATAATGTAATGCATCGGAAATTTTAATACATCTCCCTTTTCTATTAGTATCTATCAGTTTCTAGCATCTATCCAGTATCTTCGCAAGAGCAAAAAATGCATACAAAGATCATCATCAATACCACTCAGAAATCCTCCACTACCCGACTTTCCAAATACTCATCATCAATATATCATTTCTTTACACACACACATACACGCACAGCCTCCCCATCACAATCCCTTCCTTACCATATCATATCCAAAATCCAATATCCACCACGTCCGAATCCATACCCATACCCATACCCACACCCCAAGACACAAAAACAAATCTAGATAAAGAGAAAAATGAACATGCTATCTCGAAACAAAATACGAATACATCAAACGTAGTTGATAATTACATACTTGCGGGTTTGAGTCAGCATTGATGGATGTGATGGATGCTGGATCTCGATACATGTAGATGAATGGATGTGTAGATACAACAACCGAATATATGAATGAGGGGAAGGAACACACAGATTTAGTTGAGAAATACTTCATACATCTTTCTTTTGCTCTCTTGGTAAATTTCTCATTCTGCAGATAGAGTGTATTCGTGTATTTGTGAAACGTGTGTAGATTTAGTATCTAGTCATCATATACGCTCCTGCATTGCGAAGCACGGAATATGAAATATGAGTCAACTAATGATATTCTCTATAAGTATATGGTTCTGAGATCAGCTCGGAAGTGCTCAATATCGAAACCCAATTGAAGTTTAGTGTTTTCTCGGATTAGGGGTGTGTAATCCGCTTCTTACAGATGCTGGAGATGTATTCTGAGAATACACATAGTGTTTTATACCGATTTCTGTATATACTCAGGAGGTGACTATCAAAACCCCAAGTTTTCCCTCACCCCCACCCCTCATAAACAAGTAGATATCGAACTCGAGCTACTCTTGAGATATAACTTCTACGAAGCGTGATTTAAACGGAGGATTGATAGAGAATATAGACATAAGCATTAAATCAATACATCAATTGTACAAGGGGTTCTTCGCGAGACTATAGCAGTGGGTATGGAGGTGCTATTACTATTCAAGATCACTTGATAATTTTGTTGTCACTCAGAAGACCGAGACTTAGTGTGCGGGATTCATTGTTGAGTGCAATAAGTCGCAAGTTGGAATATGCTACGAGGCATATCATATGAATTGCGACACTATTACTTAGAATCTCGTAGAAAATTGACCCTCAAGGATCTCGGACAGACAATTGCCTCGAAGTAATCTGCCCATAGACTTTCGGGTTACATTCCGATCCTTTCTCCTGGAGCAACTTGGTCTGGCGAGATTCAAAAGACCAATTCATTTCAAACTTTAGTCATGGCCATGTGCTGAAGCCAGAACTTAATTTGGTAGTATAGATATTATACCTAATGAATCTTCTTTCGTCGCTAGCATGATCAGTTTACGTCATACCATGTATGGTGCCTTCGATCCCCCGAGACGAACAAACTGTGACCTCTGGATTAATTGTTTCCGCTTGGGATGGACTTCGTGGTTGAGTTCTGGTAGAGTAAATATATAGAGGACAGAGACACGAGGAAGGTTATTGCATGAAATGAGCATTCTGGTATGTTTTGAGGTATCGATTGCTAGATCATTTGATTTTCATTTATGGGAAAACAGGAGTAGAGAAATAGTTTTGATGCGGCAATTCAGGCGGTATTTGAGCGAGATTTCGAGGGGTAGAGGGAATCCAGAACTATCACATGCTTGGTTTTCCCCAAGGGTGAATGCTGATGGAAGTATTTATATGCAAATGTGAGCTTTAAGGAGCGAGGAAGGTGACGAAAGGAATCGGATGGCTCGTGGTTGGTTGACTCGACATGAAGCGACCCTATTGTTGGGGTATATTCTAAATCCATCGTCTATCATCTCAAAGAATGGCTTAACCCCTGTCTCTGCACCTCTCCTTTATGATTCCTCGATCTTTTCCCACATTTCGAAGATATATTTTACACCTCCCTCCTCCTTCACACCCTCTACCTCCTCCCCTTCTCCAGTCCATTCTCGAAGTGCCTGGGTATCCGTCCTCTTCCATCCATCACCCGTTCCATCTTCATTCAATTGAACCGGGAAATACGTATCGCATTCAAAATCATCCATTATCCTGGTCAACAATATCCTCTTCGCTTCCTTCAATTCCAATGACGCTTTATATATTTGTCCTCCACCAATTATGAAAACTCTATCGATTTCCTTTTCCTCCTCATTACTGGAATGTTTTGCTTGACTCCTTGATCCCAATTTTTCGAGTGCATTCGTCAAACTTGTTGCTGCATGTGCATCAGGACCGAGGTAACCATCTGAGGGATCAGAAGTTTGTGTTCGACTGATCATATAATTTGCTCGATTCGCGAGAGGTCGGAATTTAGGAGGAATTGATTCCCAGGTTTTGCGGCCCATGACTACTGCGTTTGTTTTCTGCTCAAAAATTCCACTCGGTCAGTTTAACCGATTTTCTGTCACTTGTCGAACTGTTCCAGCCATAGGCTTTAACTCCGAGAAGTATTCAGAATGGCATAGCTTAGCCTTCCCTTCTACGCCTCTATTGGAAAATATAGAAGGGTGTGAATTCAAAGGTCCAGCTCCAATGCTCCATCTATTTGTGATGTAAAGCTATACAGAGAGGTTTAAAGCGTAGCATACACTGCTACGCCGGTAGGAATAGTGGTAGAGCAGATGGCCAATGAAATCAGGCAATACATACCCCAGGACCAGCCCTCTTGGTAACTCTCGCAAAATAAGCCATTTCCTCTCTCAACCCTGTCCATGGAAGTCCTCCTCCTTTACCTACTCCCATCTTGTTTGTCGCCGCAACAATGAGGGTGAACTCTTTAATAGAAGCCATAGCTGCTATATTGGAATTGGTGGACATATTGGGTTCAAGAAACAATGATAGGAATTATAGATAGAGGGGTTGGAGGGGTTGGAGGGGTAAAACTGCAAAGTCTGGGGAAATGCGTGCACGGACTAATTGATGCTGGTAGTAATTTATTACTAAGCTCACATTGTGACGACCTCATCTCGCTCAAGATTCTCCTCAAGTACCTAGACATCTGAAAAAGACTTGGTGATACAATTGCAACTTTCTCCTTCCAGACTTCGCTTCTAAAGTTCAGATCCTTCCTCATGTGATTTTGGCATTTGTCCATCGTGCCAACCGGCTTCGAATAGCAATGGTTTCTCATCTCTTGCGACGGCCTTCTTTGATGCTTCCATTTCGTTCTTTTCTTCTTCGTTCATTTTTTCGCTATATCCATTCGTGGGGGGCTTTATAGATATTATATTGTGGGACTGAAGAGGGCACTATTATCGATTAGCATCTGCTAGCTCCAGCTGTTGTTTTAGAATGTAAGAAAATGAACTTACACTTGGTGCATCCGCGCAAAACCTACATCTTGAGTTCTCGAGAAGAGTTTCACTAGAAATTTTCTGCTCAAGACTGATTGTTGGATAATACACTATACTCATATATCGCCATATTTTCTGTTGCCGATTAGCATCTTTCTCGGCGAGCTAGCTCTCATCGTCTTATGGACTCACCTGCTTATGAACCATAGCCGCGATCAGCTTTGATTAGTTAGTTTCTTTCCTATAGAAAATGAACTAATGGTAAACTTACCTTTTTACGCTCTCTACGATTCCCGATTTCACAACCCAGACACGAGCACATCGGATTTCCTTCCTTCGGCTTTCAATTATTAGCTTTTTCTTGCTGAAAAATATCTGTTTATAATCCGTAAAAATTTGACATACTTTTAAGATATTCAGAATGAACTTTCCCTCTGCCGTATTGATCAAAGAACAATCGATATCAATCCGTTCGTCTCCATTTCCTGGAATGATATGCGTCGTTTTCCTCTTGACTGATCTTGATTCTTCATTATCTTCCCTAAATCTTTTCAACTTCCTGCATTTTGCAACCCCGTTTGCTATGATCGAATTGAAGCCGCGCTTAATAATGCAAGTGTATTCAATAAAGGAAGGGTAGATTCGAGATGATATACGCGTAGAAATTGACTCAGGGACACATAGACTATACAATGTTTGAAACGATGGAAATACATCATCTTAAATCAACACTAACTTCAAGCTATCAAGAATAGCTCATGCCGCGTTCTTTCTTTTCAAGGTTTTATATAGCCACTTGATACCTTCCTGTTTCATCGAGTTTTTGTTACATCGCCAAGGTGCAGACATTCCAAAACAATACAAACATCGAAAACCCCTAGGACGACTTACCCTAGGGTAAAATGAAAAGCTCAACAGTTACATAGGACTTAAAACAGATCACTTAAAACAACCTCTCAATCAGCGTCAGTGCCAGACTTTCTTTCAATTTCTAACGTGAACGAGCAGGTGACGACCTTCAATTTATGTGTGAAAGAACAGAGGAAGAAAACCCATTCAAAGTTCAATAAATGATATCTCAACCATCCAACTATCAGATTTTCAGTATTGGTTCACGCCATTCATGATAAGAGCTAAAACCCCTCACACCTTCGATAAATGGTACACAAAATAAGCGAGCTAACCTTTACTGTCCAGGTAGGTATCTAGGTAAGCAAAGACCTTAGAATATTGTAAGTGGGAAGTTGTCACAACCAACATTCCGTGCCGTTTGTTGCAAAATCTGGACAAGAAGATATAACAGCGATCCTCGATAATTCAACTTTATCGAACGTCAATCCTTTAAGACTCTCAGCCCTGTCCGGCATTTAGATAACCTTACCTCTTTGACTTTTGACAAGCTACAGCTGTAGCTACACATACTAACCCATCTCTTCATTCTCGCTTAGTCGCAAGATACATCAACAATCTGTGCACATTATTATAGCCACTCTTGTAACATCCCCGCGGGCATCTGCATAGGGGTATAGTGAAGGCTCATTCGGTAAAATGTATACTTAGAATGTGACTTGGTGATGAATTTGAGATGGCAACCTCGTGATCGATTTTTGTGATTGCTATAGAGGGCTAATGGAACATGGCCAATCAAAACTGACAAAATACTTGAATTTATCGCTGTTGATAAGTAGATATTCACAAGACGTTGGAAGAGGTGACTATACCCACCTAGGCAATTTGGCAGTATATATTGGTATAAGATTCCGTTCATCGGACTGTATTGTCGTTACCCTTCTGTAGTTTTCTTTTCAAATCTATGATATGGCGATGTGTATGCAATCATGGTAAAGCAAGCAATAATTCTCAAATGCCAGTATGAAGACGAGAGGAAACGCACCCTATAAATACCACCACATCCTCATGTATTCTCACTTGATCGAAGCAATTTCTTAAGACTGATGCTAATTTGTGATCAATGAACAATCCTATGCTTGTAAATATTAAGTCGGGTACCCTACTTTCGGGCCACCCCTGTTTTGGGCCACTTTTTACCACTAAAAATCTCAAAAAATGGAATTTTTAACTTTCTTATTTATGGATAGAATTTATTGAAAATTTGTCTATATATAATTCAGATCGTTTTGAATCTAATCTGAAAATTTTAGATTTTTAGGATTTTTCTGTATTGAGATCTAGAGCTTTAAAATATCGATTTTTTAATTTATATGAGAATCACATACAAATTTAGAACTTTTATAAAATCTTTAATAACTTTTTAACAACAATCATTAAAAGAAAACTGTATATCTTTTTGAAAGTTTTGAGCTTAAATCTATATAGAAATTAAAAAAAAATTAAAAAAAATTAACAAATATAAAGATATAGTATATAGTGAGTTTGAAGTAGTATAAATAATCCCTGTAATTTTGAGGGTATTCTTTTAAATATCTATTTATAGGAAATTTTCTTTTTTTTCTGAATCCTTTAAAATAAACATGTTATAAATTATAATAAACTTTTATAGTTTATTTTTAATAATTTTTATTAAAAAGTTATTAAAGATTTTATAAAAGTTTCAAATTTGTATGTGATTCTCATACAAATTTAAAAATCGATATTTTGAAGCTCTAGATCTTAATACAGAATATTCCTAAAAATCTGAAATTTTCAAGCTAAACTAAAAATGATCTAAATTATATATATATAAATTTTCAATAAATTCTATTCATAAATAAGAAAGTTAAAAATTCCATTTTTGGTGTAAAAAGTGGCCCAAAAGGGGGGTGGCCCGAAAGTAGGGTATCCGACTTAATGATTCAGGTGATATACTCCCAATCTTCCTTCGATCTCATGACATTCCAACAATTGACAAAAGCCAAGCCATTTAAATCTCTCCCACGTTCCTCTACCAAACCAGTACTCCAAGAAAACGCCACACCAGGTCCGCGCCTGCCTCATCTCACATAACTCCCTGCGCCGGATTCTATCCCTTCCCATCCCTCCTTCCCTCTTAACTCCTCTCCTCCACTCCTCCACTCCTCCACTCCTTCCCTCCTTCCCTCCTTCCCTCCTTCCCTTCTTCCAACATTCAAAACTCCAAGCTAACACTCTTCCCCTTTCTCTCGCATCCCCCGATCTTTCCACAATTCCCCGAGCAAGTAGACCCTTCCGATTTTTCTAAACCTGGGGATAATTCCTTCTCACTAGTATTTGCAGTTTCATGGTCCCGAGTACCCAGTGATGTAACGATCCGACTTCGTAATTTAGATGAGCAGACTTTGGAAGGGATTTTCTTGCTGGTAAATCTATTCGGATCGTTCTTGTTCCTGGGTATGTCAGCAGGAATATGAGAGAATGTTGATATCTTGATGTTTGGGGGTGGAGGAGGGTGGATTACTGTTGAGGCATCATGAGATATGTGACGGTGTGAATATGAGTTGTAGATGAAATTGACGGATGTTGTCTGTATAGATGGTTAGTTTGTGAATAGTACAAAACATTGAAGACATGAAAAAGCATCTGCATGGTAATAATTACATTGTTTATGTTGATGGCGAATCCTCTTCTAGAAAGTCGTCGTTCGATATGTCAACACTAAATACCGAAAGGAAGTGAGATTGTGTCGATTAAGATACGGAATACTCATCCTTTTCGGCTGACAGCTCAAATATACTTGCCGGTAGTGGGAAGCAACCGGAAGGACCCAAGATAATATCGATCGACAAATGTGTCAAAGTGGCGTGATATATTCGTGATGTGGCATGTTCATCGTCGAATGTGTTTGCACCGGCAACAAATATAGTACGAGTTCAAACAGGATGGAATTTGGATCATGTGTTGTATTCTGTGGTACTTAGACATGGGTATTATTATTGGAATGGGGGTGGTGTCAAAGTTGGGGAAAGGGGGAGGCGGTGGGTGTGGTGCAACATCATTCACCAACGAACATTGGCAATATTTTTTAAAATCGCTGATAAATTTTAAATTAAAATTTAAACTTTACAAAATTGTGTATGTTCCAAAAAAAAAAAAGCGTAGCCATATCTATCAATCTAAAAGTGATAGATAAGGGTACGCAGTTGCCTTCTATCAGGCAATAGATTATATCCAACCGACCAATATTATACAGACTGTCAACTGACTCTAACCAAGTATCCCGCGTATAGGATGTACCGCCGTCGTATATGATTGATCCCTTGGTAAAGCCTATCGAAGGATCAGTATTCATCATCGATAGCGTCAAGAAACTTGAACTCACCAAGCTGCGAAGGATAATATAGCATTCCTAACCAAAATCAAAATCAAGACTGTCAAGTGAGTCATGTCTGGGCTCGTAGAAGTTAGTCTGATCTACAATCCAGTCCTCGTACATTCTGTAGAGCGGACCCCACTTCGAGCTCTCTCTCATTGCGAAATCTTGTTCCTTCATTTCCTCATTCCACTTTTGAACTGTTGGAGATTGTGCGTTGCAGAAGACTGGTGGTGTCAGACGAATCCAACGCTCGATGAATTCGAGAGATGTCAAAATTGATTCGCCCTTTGGCAGCTTTCCGCTGTTGGAATCGCGAACGCTGAGGCATCTTGTGTGGTCTGCAAGCGATATCCTGAAGTCTACTGCGTGGGGAATGACACCTGAAGCAGCATGAGCTGCCAGAATGTTCTCAAATTTGTCTGAACTCTCTGTGTATGTCTTCATTTCCTCCTTTGTCAATCCATACCCATTCGTCGGAATTTGGGCTTTACGGTGGCTCCATTCTAGATCTTCACGTTTTCGCTTTCTGTAAAAAGAATGTTAGCAAAATTGATCGAGAGTTGTGGTGTTTGAAACTCGGTATACTTACTTTTGGTTCAATTCCTCAACGGGGGAGGGGGTACGAAGATTAGTAGTGCCATTTCTAGAGTTATAAGTTAGTCGAATTGAGTTTGCTTGGCGAGGCTACACATTCGAGATACACATACGCTTGTAAGGCCATGCTGAATCCTGGATATTCTTTCGCATTATCCTCCGCCGTGTAATCAGGCGATGATAACAGGCTGGCCGCCACGTCTGAATCGCTATCAGACGGTGTCAAATAGATAGGTGACGACATTCTCGATATTATTGATAAATAGACAAGAAGAGAATTAAATAAGAGAGTAGATCGAAATGATCTGATACGATGGAGCTTAATGTGCTATTGTCACTCAGTCAAGTTGTAGCTCCAGATATATGATATGTGATGTGATGTATATGTGGAAAATTGTAATGAGAGATTTAATCCTGCCGACTAGAAATTACAAATCGGGCATATTGAGCCAGTCGAGGTCGAGCGTGGTAAAATTGACGTCTATAAAAGTCTTCTTTTTGTCAAAAGACTGTTATGAAATGTAGGATTATAGAGCGAAGGTGGTAGAGATTAAGGAAGAAAAAAAATCATTGTGGGGACCCTTTTATATGAATATTTTGCAAGTAAAGAGAGCTAACTAATAGCGCGGCTGACTTATTTCCAAAAGTGTATTCTCTCGGAAAGATAGTCCTATGTTTTATGCTGTTAGTAACCGTGGAAGATTAGCTTTTTCTACGGAAAGAAAGTAGGAGCAGATGTGTTTGTAAGACAATTCGAGATATTTCTTTGAAATTTGAGAATATTGACTACTGTCTTTCTTACACGATAGGGTGCATATATTGTTATACGAAGCATCGTGTATTTCTTGAGACCTACAATACCTGCATGACTAATACAAGTAGCTGGTCAAAAAGCTGATTAACATGAATGTGATCTGCATTGAAAACTGGCTTCCACTTGCTATTCGAAGGAATTTTAGCCGAAGATATTGAGATTGTGCTCGGTAGAGAAGCGAATCGAATCGAGGGTGGATACAGGTATGATTCTTCCGGTAGACAGGATAGTATTGAAACATTTTTGGTGAGAGGAGTTTACACCTAGATGATATCCTGTGATGTTATGTTTTGCTGTCAAGTTAAAACGAGAGATAACTGTAGTCATGGCAGCTGGGATACGTTTTCCCTTTGACAGCCCCTACGAGTCAATGGTATACTGTGTCATGTATGTCAAGATCAAATTTTCAACAATTTAGCGCTTTCATTGGGATTAATTCTTGAATTTGGAGTGGATTGCTCTACACGACTATGTTTCTGAAGATACTTCTCAAGTAGTGATGTGAAATTTGCCTTTCATAAAATGGATCGATTTTGCGGCGATTTTGCCCTCCAGATCCCGACAGCACCGGCGAGATCAGTGAACAGCGGAGCAAGACTTTCGAATAGGCCAACGAAATTTGACTTCAACGAAATTTGACTTCAACGAAATCTCAAGCCAGGTATGGCTGGTGAAAAACAGTGGACAGCTTCTGAGCAAGATATTTCCGAGAAGGCACGACACGTGGTCTTTGCTGAAGGATTCTCACTAGTTGATTCCATTGAAGATTTTGAATATGATGATCTTGGTATATTCCCCTCTGTAGATGCCCCGTTTGCAATTTACTTTACACTCCGGTGATTATCTTGCATCATGGTATGATATTAGACTGTTGTACTGGTCCATCAGAGGTATCCTTGGAGGCATCGATCATCTAAGTATTCTCTGTGGGCTTTATCCGGGGTTATGGCTTCTTTTTTCGCGGGGTCGACAAGGTTATGGCGACTATGGCGGTGTGGCCGCTATAAGGCGATGACAAGGCAATGCAGTGGCGAATTTGTTAATCTGATCGCCCTCTAGGATCTTCAATTTTATATATAGCTTATAAGCATGCTAATATTATTAAAGACGGGTACCAATACCCTGACACTTGTCCATATTATTTGCCAAGGGTAGCCAACCACTTGATCTTATTAGCTATCTCACTCGTATTTTCAAAATTTCGAATTTGTGCGTCTGTACATGTGACTAAAGGTATAAAAGGCAGTGCTCGCAGGTGAGATCTCCGAGAGGAAGTATGAAACTACTACAAGAACGACTAGAACGAAAAGGACACGGGCAGGTCTTTCTATTGGTTGGGTCACTAATTAAGAACCAATCATCACATCATCGATATGTCAAAATCATCAATGAAGAAGTACAGGGAATGCTGCCTTGGGGTACAGAAAATCTACATTGACATAGATTCTATTCGTTAGAGAAGTGCCAGTCAGCGAGGAGGAAGAGATGCTCCGTATGTGCCTGTTAACATGGTCTGACATTGGTAAATTTATGACACATCGGATGTGACGACCTCGAGCACTTTTTCGTTGAGATGAGCAGGCCGCTCTTCACTCGTACGCGAACATCAAACACGATGTGGGGTAGAAGATTTATTGAATAAGGTGTGACTGTGGTAGGTATTTGATATTGAAATGTGGTTGGTATTATCATTCAAGGCAAGAACATTTGAATTTTCATTCAATAAGCTGGCACAGAGGAAGAGCATTAGAGTACCGAGAGGTACTTCCTTCTTACAAGAATGCGTTCAAAAGGTATTGTAATGGTGCCTTCCATTTCAACCTTTAATCATTACAAAATTGTGATTATGTAACATTCTCGGTTATTCGTATATACATGAGCCTATACTCCACCACGAACAATGCATTACAACAGAGGTCTTTTTCTTAATGTTCTTAATGTAGACGGATTTTTAGAAAATGACACAGTTTTTAATATTCATACGACTATTCTTCAGCTTTCAACAAATAATGTAGTTCTTGAAAAGCTTATATAATCATGTACTACATACGCGCTAGGCTTACGCTAGATCTCCCTAGTTTCCCGACCATCAAGTCGGCCCCTTCCACTCTGTAAATCAAATCAACGGAAACCCAGAAGATGACATGAGAAAGAAAGCGAAGCTTTAGATTTGCACTTGGAGTAAAGGGTTGTATTTCCTTCCACTTCTCAATCTAGCGTCTGACCATCTCGTACGATTTCACATTTCTGACACAATAACTATACCAACACCAACTGTTCAAACTATCTTTCTAAGCATTACCAGGATAACACCAGCAAGAATTCTCTGGGCTTGCTTGTAACAGCCTGTACTGCAATCAAAAATCGCAATGAGGATAAGGAAAAGGCTGAACCACACCGGGGCTAGAATGTCAATAGAGTCTTAACCACTTGCTAATTCCAGACCCGCAAATGTCAGATATGTAACAAACCCTTTATAGAAACATGATTGGTGTATCAATCTCTCTGCCAGTAGTTAGAAAGTATCTAGTTCCGGAACCAAAATGCATAAAACGAGAACATTTAACCAATATCTTCCTTGGTAATTCGAAATACAGAGGAGACGATACTTTAGATCCGGGAAAAGCTTGTAGGACATGATTCGAATGTTTCTACTCTACTTGATTGAGAGAAGTGCGGGATTAGCGTGAGCCTAGTTCGACGGTGCAAGTTGAGTAGTGTCTTAACAAGCATATACCGAGGCTAAGATTGTAAATGTTTGATACAGTCCGCATAGAAATATATCTTAAAATATTTGAGATCTCCCTCCCTTTTCTCTTCAAAACCTCAACACTTCAGATTCTCACATTCTCCTGACGCTTTATGTGAATTCTCTCTGTGCTATGGCAAATACGAGACGAATAATCATAACGAATTTTTTTTCATGCCAGGCAATAGCGAGGCGGGACATGAGCTTCTTTACTATCGCTTCTGAATATTCGATCTATTGATCCGAAGAGATCGGAGCCCGAAGTAGCTTTTCGTATGCCCTCTTTCTCTTACTTGTCCCAAGAAATCATCAGAAACCTCGCTAACTTTTTTCTTCAAATACCTAGTAAGCAGGAGCATGAAACCCATCTTCAAAAAAGTTAATAACACAACGATACATTCTCGACTATATGTCCCTCTTTCATTCTGTACGAAGGAAACACTATAATCTGCCAAGTACTCTCAAGTATTGCCATCGAACAGAAGAAAGATAGCAGGGACAACGAATTTTCACAAGTCGGTTCTGATTCGCAACTCCCGATTGTCTCGAAGGACCCACTACCAGACCCTTGGCCATTATATCGTTCTCTTTACAAGCTCAGCGATAGAGACCTCTGGCCATCTTGCACACCGTATATAAAGCTCTCGAAAGTTCGGCTTAGGATGCTTTGAGAGTTATGGAGTACAAAATGCAACAACAAAACGCAAGCGAAGTATAAAAAAGTCCAGAAAATATCCATATTACGGTTCCTAGGACAAGTATCTTATTTTTCCTAAGTCCAGTATATTTGTGCTTTTTTTTGGGTATCATGTGTTGTTTTTATCTTCTGCTTGTACCCTTTTATTTCTTTTGCAAATTTGGCATACTGGTATGAAATTGGTATCATTGAGAGCGAGTTAGATACCTAGTAGCTCTAGTGTAACTAAATGCCTTTCCAACACCTCGCCGAGAGGAATAGTTACTTCCAAGCCATGATCTACTACCAAGTAGGTCAATGCAAAAGGGAAAGGCCTGTACAGATATTACCATTTCCCTTGTCCCATGAGAAAAAGATGTATATTTTCAGTGTGGGAAAATGTGTATCTTTCACACTCGTCTCCAAAATTCGTTCCTCTCATGTCCAACCTCCAACAGAGTTGGATGATGACCATTCAAAGAAAATTTTGATTTGTTTTTCATTGTAGGTCTAGATCTAGAGTATAATAACTACTGCTACTTCTAGATACTATATTGAAGGGGCGAGAATATCAACATCACTCAACATCCATGGAAACAGTACTTGCCGTCCCCTAAGGTACGAAGCTGGTTGCTTGTTATTGACAACTATATAGTACTTCTATAGGCTTTCGCAATAAGTACATTTGTTTCCATTTTACAATATTTTCCATTCCAATACATACCATCTCATGGGTCTCGAAATCAGTTTGTGATGTGACGATGGCAAGTTGTAATGCCATCTTTGACAGTGGCTGATTTCATTAATAATACATAACCTTAAAATACAATTGAGCGAGCTGCTCTAGAGTGAATTGCGCAATCATGATTATATCTCCTTTTTCACATTGGATCTATAGAGGCTTTCCCGGAGCCTGATCCAATGGCAAATCCATCATTTTGCTCTTGATACCAACAAAACTTGCTTCTCCAGCAGGATCACCAAAAGTCAGCTGACCACTCATGATGTCTTGATCTGAGAGTTTTTCCAACTCCTGCATGGTACGTCTCATATAACTGACGATCGTCGCGAGTCCTTTGATATCAACATCCTCGTTTGCCTTGAAGACATTTCTCCAGACTGCCGCTGCCAATACAGCATCGCCCTTGGCCAAGCCTTCATCATACGCCGCCAGAAGACCTCGCCACTGAACAAACATATCCTTGAGATATTTATTGCGAGTACCACGAGCATGCATATTATGATTAATGATCATTTTGTTCTCGGCATCATAAAAGAAGTGGTCGAGAAGATGTTGTTGCCAAGGCTGCGACTCGGCACCTGGGAAACATCGAAGACGAACTGAAAGGAGATATAAATGAAGCATTGTTACCTGTGACCAAGTACTGAAGGTAGGTTTCAATGCTAGTTCTGAAAGAAAAATGAATCATTAGCTTAGGACTATGTCGTCTAAGAAGGAGAAGAAGGACGTACGATCATGCCACCAGCCTTTACCAATGCCCAAGTCTTCACCTTCTTCCGTCTTTGGCATTTCTGCATCTGGATCTGATGCTTGTGGTATAGAGTAGTCTGCTTGTGCCCCGCAGGTTTTATAAAGCTCTTCTGTGGCTCCATATGCGGTATATGTTTCGGTTATAGCTTTGCCTGAAACCTTCTTGAATTCTCTGGCCAGACTTGGTGAGGTATGTGTAGAATGTTTGATCTTATCTCCAGCACGAGGTGGTGTAACGGGAGGGATTGATGTCCCATGATTCTGATTGACCTCTGCGAGATTGGCATAATTATCATTAGCTGTTGCGAAAGCTCGCGAGATGGTGGGGTTGAATTTCGCAATGCTGTTCTGAAGGCAGTTAGTTAGTGATGGATATTTGCGCTTCTTGAAACAATTGGGGGTTTATTTACCCTGGCAGTACGTCCGGATTGAAGGCTCAGCGCTCGCAGACATGAATTACAAGTTTTTGAAGCCATTCTTGATTTGATGTGAAGTCGTCAATGGAGGGAGGTATGCAATGTTCAAAAGAGATTGACCTATATTTATGTCATAGATTTGTATTATGAATGGACAAGCGCTAGAACGAATATATATACACACACACACACCAAACATTTTTTCGCACGTTGTTGATTCTGTTTTCAGCATCAATTCACCAAAATATTCACCGAAAATCACCCGTGAAATGCAATATTTCTCAATTGAGTATCAGGCTTTATTTTGATATAAAAATGACTACTAAACTTATCCTTACTTTTTTTTATAAGAATTATATTCATGCAATTGATGATATTGAATTGAATGCTAGAGTCACTCGCGGCTTTGACTTCGGCACGCAAATTTCTATAGTCTAGACGTCATCTAGTAATTGCTGAGCTGCTTCAGTTTACCCCACATGATATGTCTTGGATTATATAATCCCCCATTGGTCGGCGTCTGGCGTAGGAAACATAACATTCATCATATATGAGTCCATATCATTCACTTATTATATATCATACCCTTGCCTTAAAACTATGGATAAAAATTGAAGTCGATATTGTAATGGACAATCTATTACATTGCCATGTTGTAGTTTCGCCTAGTTGGTCTACACAAGTTTTCCCAATTCAGGAACAGATGTTACTTCCATCAACGAAACCGCTTTCCTAAACTCACAATCTTATTATCTCATGATCTCAAAAAAAAATTACTGTTCTATATCACCATATATTATCCTTACACTCATAACATTCTTCCCCCTCATATCTCAAACGTGATCTACCATTCGAAGCGATTTCCTTAACAAAATTGTGTCCTCATCTCAAGTTCTCCCATCTATCCCCTCACAGCCAATCCACATCGTCAAATTTCAAATGGCTCTGATTTAACCCATGTAGTGAGCACGGAAGACGTTAATGCTTGGCCTCAATCGAAGCTAGAATGGCTTCAGAACGTTTTAGTTGCTTTAGTGCGGATGTCGATCTATTTTACAGATAACCGATCAAAACCCCCTTTTTCACCAACCGAATTGGAGTGTCATGTGCTTTCTCCAACATTCTCAATTTAATTCTCCAACCAGGATAGACTTATTTTACAATCGACAGGAAAGGAAATGGTTGATATACAGCCTCGGTTTTTTTCAATCTATTATCCGCTTAGCAAGAGGGAGTGTTTTTCTGTCATGGACACATTTCAACTGAGATTTTAGGGCCAAGATTTATGAAGTTTACTAGATTTAAGCTCAATCGCTAGTAGGACCGAGATTCATAACTATCCAATCCAATCCAAATAAGCCTTGGCAATACACTCATTGAGCTCTTCGAATGGAGGAAGTGAGGAATTGAGGTATATGCTGTTTGAGTACAATGATTGTTGAGGATTTTGAGAATAATCGATGTCAAGAAGACTCTTAATATACCTGATCATTCGGCAAATTCAGATTCGCATCCTTCCTAGTTCTATAACCACACACAAGAAGCCAACTATTTATATCTCTAGCATAAGATACGAAATACATACCCCCCAAACACCATAACATATCCTCACCCCAAGCCTCACCCTCCCGCTAAACTTACTATTCAACCACCCTGCCCTCCGTTTTCCCCCTCCCATCAGATCATAAACCTCATACATAGATTTTCAAAACTCGAGATACTTGGCTTTCACATCCAATCCCTAACATGCGGATTTGGGTATGTGGGAGACGTGACCATCCGGATAGTCGATATACTTTGAGAATTGAGAGGGTTTCAATCTCTGATGATGAGTTGTGCTTTTGGCTTGTTGTAGATGTCGAGTCTTTTGGTTTTGGCTGAAATGAGAGGCGCTTGTCCCGTGAATCACAGATGGCATCCATAATCATCTCGATCACCAATTGTTTCCATTTTTTTAATCACCATAATACGTCCAATAAAGCAGAAAGGAGACTGAAAAAAATATAATCACATTCAGGTCAACTATTCTCACCTTCATTCTTTGAGCCTCCGAATCCCCTAAAGTGTATTCCAATCATAGAAAGACGTATATAGATGTAAAACCTTACAATCAGAAGATTTCAAAACGCCTGCCAAAACTATAAATATAACGCTGAGGAAACAATACGAAAGGGTTACAACTAACCACCATGCGAGACTACACGCGACGAAACAATCCATCCTCGGATCTGATGGAAGTCGTTTATAACGTCAAATCCAACTCATTCACATGCAAACGACGCTCGGAGCTCGTTGTCAATGAACACCTTGGTATTCCTTCCTCGCATTTCTGATCTCTAGGCACGAAGCTAACATGAATTGTAGCAGAGGATGTGAAATTTATACTCATTCCGCGATTTCATAGAAAAGTTAAGATTGATGTGACGTGGGAGCCAAATCCCAGATTGGGGCATTTTGATTATCTTCACATATCAACAACCGTGGAATTGCCCCTAGGAATCTGGTATAGAAGAAATGTATGGGGTCTCCACGAAAACTTGTACATCTGTAGATAGTTATTTCTAGGGCCAGTCGTTCGTCTCTCTGGATCTTAACGAAGAGTTCCATTCCATAACTAGGTATATGTATTATTCGGCCAGTGCTATCTCGTGAAATCAGATTTTTTCCCGTTGGCGCGTCGACTATCGTGCGTTTGATGTATATTCGGAATCGCAGTCTAATATGTATATGTGATATTCAGACATGTGCTCCAAGAAGTGTGGGAATGCATGTTCCAAGATCGGCATAATCCTATGTTCTCGAGTACCTCAGTTTGAATATCCATCCGAACAATAAAAGTTGTGATGCTTCCTGCCAATATATAATCACCAAGTAAATCTGCGAGCCATTCTTTGCTCGCCGAAAAGACCCTGCATATACTCCGGGCGCCATCTCCATATATTTCATTCTAGTAATTATCCCCAGCTTTCATTTGCGCATTTCCTCACTTTAAATTGAATTTTTGTCCAGCGACAACTGGAGCTGAGGACGTTTTTGCATTCGACTTCCCACACATTGCGCAAGCTGTTTCATGTTAGAGCCTTCACAACACATTAAGGACGAAATGTGGTGCATACCATTGGCTTTGTATGAGCACTTCAAACAATACTTTCTCCCCTGATCAACCTTGGTGCTGCATTCTTTACCGGTGCAGGTTGTCGAATATGTAGCATAAGGATTTCTAGCAGCTTTCGACAATAATTTACTCTGCCATTACAACATTAACAATAGTAAATTTTTGCGCGATAGAATTGGATCTTACCTTGCCTATACCGTTATTCCCCAAGGTGGCGGAGGTCTTTGTACCAGCCTTAGATGATGATGATCCAGCTGGTGAACCAAGATACATGTCATTCTTCTTCTTGACCTCTGGAGTTGCCAAAGAGGTAGTAGAAGATTTCTTTTGGCACTTTGCGCAAACCATTTCGAGACGTTATGATGGGTGTTAGTTGGAATTGCGATCGACTTTTATGTGATGTGATGTGATGTGATGTGATGTCAGTTAACAATTCGCGGGAAAGTAAGAATGCGGGTGAGGCGGGACCTGATGGCCTTGCGTAGAAGGCTGAAGCGAGCTAGAGCTCTCCCTGTAACTTATTATTATAACCATCTCTATTATTGTGGATGTCAATCCTAATTTAGCAACCAAGACAAGATTCCAAGACTTTATACGAATTTAAAAAGACTCCCAAATTGACCCTGAATTTATCACGCATATAACGAATACGAAGACCGAACAATACGAAATACATTCAAGTACCGTGGTTCACGACCCACGAAAGAATTGGTTGTCATTGACGAACTTAAGCGGCACTCGCATTACATCCGCCATCCCTAAATCTCACAAAGAGGCTATGCAACTATAACAGAAGAAGACAACAAATTCTTAAGCTTGCAAAACATCACGACCATTTTGGACAACTAGGAATCGCATGATTACAATCTGATCTCTGCATTGAGTGCGACGACCTCGAGCTGAATTCCAGCATGGCTGGACAGCCTTCAAATAATCGGGACGACTTACTTCTCGATTTACATGATGAACAACCAATCTACCACACCGGGCAGCGCGCTCCTATGAATGATGACGACCTTCTGCGCGCCTACAATGCAGATCATGATGAGTCGAACCCCAGACCTTCAATTTCTTACGACAACTTCGTTGGCGCACCATCTCCTTCTACGCCATCTACCACCAACAATCTCCCAGGAGGGCCTGGCTATCAAACGAGTGGAGCACAACCGCCATACATTCATGCAAACTCAGCATCGTACAGTCAAACTTCAGGATTGAATAACTACCAACGATATGCGGATGATTTGGACGATTTTCCGGATGATGGACATTCTTCGGAGTATTATCACCATGGAACAGCAATTCCTGGTGACGGGGCAGAAATGAGGGGTCATGGTCGAAATCGCAGTAGCATGATGAGCTTGGGAGGTGGAATCATGGGCAAGGCGAAGAGTATGTTTGGAATGGGGGCTGAATATTCGGAAATGGATCTACCCTTGACTGAAGCCGGGGCTAGGAATCGAGCAGATACACATGAACCTGAAACGCCTGTACAGTCTGAAAGTAAGCTGGGGAAATTTAAATTTGGTTTTGGTAGAGGAAAGCCAGATCCTTCAACTCTTGGTCCCAGAATGATACATCTCAACAATCCTCCTGCTAACAGCGCAAGCAAATACGTGGATAACCATATATCTACAGCCAAATACAACGTTGCAACCTTTCTACCGAAATTCTTGTTCGAGCAGTTCTCCAAATTTGCCAATCTGTTCTTCTTGTTCACTGCAGCACTGCAACAGATACCCGATATTTCCCCAACGAACCAATACACCACCATCGGACCTTTAATCTTGGTCCTCTTGGTATCTGCCGGTAAAGAGTTAGTTGAGGATTACAGGAGGAAAACATCTGATACTTCGCTGAACAATTCAAAGGCTCGTGTTTTACGTGGCTCTTCATTCGCGGATACCAAATGGATCAATGTTTCTGTTGGCGACATCGTTCGTGTAGAATCTGAAGAGTCATTTCCTGCAGATATTATTTTACTAGCCAGTTCGGAACCGGAGGGACTATGCTATATTGAGACTGCCAATCTAGACGGTGAGACTAATCTCAAAATCAAGCAGGCCATTCCAGAAACATGTGTGATGGTCAGTTCCAACGAACTTAGTAGACTGGGCGGAAAGCTACGATCGGAACAACCGAATAGCAGCCTATACACCTATGAGGGTACACTTACTGTGGCTGCTGGCGGTGGAGAGAAGGAGCTTTCTTTGCAACCAGATCAACTTTTGCTTAGAGGTGCAACACTACGTAACACTCCCTGGATTCATGGAGTTGTTGTATTTACTGGTCACGAGACCAAGCTTATGCGAAATGCAACGGCAACGCCAATAAAGAGAACTGCTGTGGAGCGCCAACTCAACATTCTGGTTCTAATGCTCGTAGCTATCTTGATCGCGCTGAGTGTCATAAGTTCATTGGGTGATGTTATAGTTAGATCGGTCAAGGGAGCAGAATTAAGTTATCTTGGTTATTCTGCTTCAATCACCTCGGCGAAAAAAGTCTCGCAATTTTTTTCTGATATAGCCACTTATTGGGTTCTGTATTCTGCTCTGGTTCCAATTTCTCTTTTCGTCACTGTCGAAATGGTCAAATACTGGCATGCAATTTTGATCAATGACGATCTCGACATGTATCATGACAAGACTGATACCCCAGCTGTCTGTCGAACATCGAGTTTAGTCGAAGAACTTGGTATGGTAGAATACATTTTCTCAGACAAAACTGGAACATTAACATGTAATCAAATGGAATTCAAGCAATGCTCTATCGGTGGGATTCAATACGCAGAGGATGTGCCAGAAGATCGCCGAGCCACCAATATCGACGGTCAGGAGATCGGGGTTCATGACTTTCATCGACTCAAGGAGAATCTCAAAACACATGAGTCGGCTTTAGCTATTCATCACTTTCTTGCCCTTTTATCTACTTGCCATACCGTTATCCCTGAACGATCTGATGAGAAGGGCGGAGCTATCAAATACCAAGCAGCATCTCCCGACGAAGGTGCTCTGGTCGAAGGTGCTGTTTTGATGGGTTATCAGTTTACTGCACGCAAGCCAAGATCTGTACAGATAAGTGTAGGAGGAGAGATTTATGAGTATGAGCTTCTTGCGGTCTGCGAATTTAACTCAACGAGAAAGAGAATGTCGGCAATTTTTCGATGCCCAGATGGACAAATCAGATGCTACTGCAAAGGAGCTGATACTGTTATCTTGGAACGGCTTAGTCCAGACAACCCACATGTTGAGGTCACACTTCAGCATTTGGAAGAATACGCTTCAGAGGGTCTAAGAACACTTTGTCTGGCAATGCGAGAAATTCCCGAAAATGAGTTTCAAGAGTGGTGGTCAGTCTTTGATAGAGCACAAACTACCGTCAGTGGTAATCGTGCTGAGGAACTGGATAAAGCTGCTGAAATTCTGGAGCGGGACTTTACGTTACTTGGAGCCACAGCGATTGAAGATCGTCTGCAGGATGGTGTTCCCGAGACGATTCATACCCTACAAGAGGCTGGCATCAAGGTCTGGGTATTGACCGGAGATCGTCAAGAAACTGCTATCAATATTGGAATGAGTTGTAAGCTGATCAGTGAAGATATGACTCTTCTCATCGTCAACGAAGAAACAGCAATGGATACTAGGAACAATATACAAAAAAAACTCGATGCCATACGAACACAAGGTGATGGCACCATTGCTATGGAAACTCTTGCTTTGGTTATTGATGGAAAGTCTTTAACTTATGCTCTTGAGAAGGATTTGGAGAAAGATTTCCTTGATCTTGCTGTTATGTGTAAAGCTGTCATATGTTGTCGTGTATCTCCACTCCAGAAAGCTTTGGTTGTCAAGCTTGTCAAACGCAACAAAAAATCTATCCTATTGGCTATTGGTGATGGAGCGAATGATGTCTCAATGATTCAAGCAGCCCACATTGGTGTTGGTATCAGTGGTATGGAAGGTCTACAAGCCGCCAGAAGTGCCGATGTTGCGATCGGACAATTCAGGTATCTGCGTAAACTACTCCTAGTTCATGGCGCATGGAGTTACCAACGAGTTAGCAAAGTCATTCTCTATTCTTTCTACAAAAACATCACGCTATACATGACACAATTCTGGGTATGCCTTTCACAGTTCTTTAAGTTGATCTACTATTAACAGTCTATAGTATTCATTCCAAAATGTTTTCTCTGGAGAAGTCATCTACGAATCCTGGACCCTATCATTTTACAATGTCTTCTTTACAGTGCTTCCTCCACTTGCAATGGGTATCTTTGATCAATTTATATCTGCTCGACTCCTCGATAGATATCCGCAACTTTATCAACTGGGTCAAAAGAATACCTTTTTCAGACAACATTCGTTCTGGGCTTGGATTGGTAACGGTTTCTATCATTCTCTGATTCTATATATCGCCTCGGAGCTTATCTGGTGGCGTGATCTACCTCAGGGCGACGGCAAAACAGCAGGCCATTGGGTATGGGGTACAGCACTCTATACTGCCGTCTTGGCAACTGTTCTTGGAAAAGCAGCTCTAGTGGTGAATGTCTGGACCAAATATCACGTTATCGCTATACCTGGCAGCATGCTAATCTGGATCGTTTTTATTGCTGTTTACGCTACGGTGGCGCCTAAGCTCGGCTTCTCCATGGAATATGAAGGTGTAATTCCTCGATTATTTGGAAGCCCTGTCTTCTGGATTCAAGGTTTGGCATTGCCTATGTTATGCTTGCTGAGAGACTTTTCGTGGAAATAGTGAGTTTATCTGTGGTATCAGTTTTTAGAAGATGCTAATCTATGCTCATAGCGCCAAACGGATGTATTACCCACAATCCTACCACCATATCCAAGAAATCCAGAAGTACAACATTCAAGATTATAGACCAAGGTACGTTCCTGTTTCGATTCCGTTACTATGAGGTACTTTTCTAACCATTCATTACAGAATGGAGCAATTTCAAAAGGCCATTCGCAAGGTCCGGCAAGTTCAACGTATGCGTAAACAGCGCGGTTATGCCTTCTCTCAGGCGGACGAATCACAAACCAGAGTGCTACAAGCATATGACACGACGAAGGAGAGAGGAAGATACGGAGAGATGGCAAGCTCGAAAAGGAATCGTTGATAAAGATCTCCTTGGGCTTCAGCGATTAGATCCAAGATGCAGCGGGTGAGCATAAAAAGTTTAGACCCTGGTCTGGTCTGATGAGTCTGACAGGCATTCTGGCTGGAAACAAGCTGGATTCAAGCTGGATTGAATGACTCGGAAAATTATGTTCTATGTATGATGATAACTGGAAGCTAAATCTTTTTTCTTTTTGGGCTAGGCCTGGTGGGCTTTTCTTTCATGAATGATTGCGATGCGCTTTTTCTTCTTTTTCTGATTTTACTTCGCTCATATGAATAGCACACCTATGTATATCATTAGTTTTCTAGAATATCGTGATACCTTCTCTTCTTCGTTATACACACTTGATATCTTGCATATTTGTTGCCTACCTTGGCCGCTGATCTAGCTTTGTCAACATTATCATTGAATATCATTGGAGAGTTCGGGTTGAAAAAATGCACAATTACGAATTTACGAGAAAGTTCTCGGCCTTCGAATCAATCCCCACTCTTTCTGTTATTGCGCGCAATGGCCTTAGGAAAGTGAGACTGTCTACTTTGGGAGATTTTGCATGTTTAGGGTCCAAATAAGGAGTACTGAGTTTTCTCATTGCAGTGGAAGACATGATTCTCCTATTAGATTATCAAACGTCTTTCATTCTGTTGTTTTCTTCGAGCAAGGTCCAAATGTCTAGCTGCCACCAATCCTTGCAAGAATGTCGTAAATCTTCTTATTGGCATTTATTACTTACAGACTAGATGCCCCAGTTATTTTCCCCCACTACTCTGTTGGCGTTATTGGTCGATAGACTCCGTCAAACTCTACGGATGCTGGAAGGGTAAGTAATGTAAAACGCATCTAAATGTGTCTCCACTTTAGGCCTTTGAACCAATCAAATCACATCACTAATTGAAAATTTATATGGTGAACTCCAGGTAGTAGAAGTATTGTAAAAGTTACATTTTATTCAAAATTATTTACATTTTATTTGAAATCATTAGTTTTGATTAGAGTTTAAGTTCGAAACTTCATTTTAAGTCTATTTAGAACCTATTAGAAGCTTCAAATACTATAAAATTATTGAGGTTGATGAAAAGCAAGAAAAGCTTCAGAAATTGAGATTTGAGGGGGAACAACTCAATATCTATTCAATTCGCTTAAAGCAGCAGTAAAATCTATAAAAACAGTAAGATTTTAGTAAAGTGGGTTTCATATTGATTACCCTTACAACCTTCGTAAATTCGGCTTCTCAATCTTCGTAAGCACCAAACCCGGATTGGGAATGTTGATTTCCCATGTCGCGAAAGGCAGGGAGAGCATACGATTTTTTATCAATTTCATTGCCAATAATCCCGTCTATTGTGGATTTGCTTGTTGCAACGTCGTAAACGAAATTCACAGGATATGTCCTATGGGAAAAAGTGATCTGAGCGTTCTACGTATCTACCAATGTTTCATCTCCAAGATGAGTCAGCGCAACATGAAGCTTACCATCATCAGTAGTAACATTGGGTAGAAACAAACGGACTCTCGTCAATCGGATGTCGACCATGTTTGAGAATGGAGAATTGGTGGCCTCCGGGTCAGGTGGGTAATGCCTAGATGCAAGAGTGCGCTATCTGGAGAATCGAACTTGATGCTACGCACGTCGTCTTCACCGAGGGGGTATTGTAGCGAGGAGAATGACTGTCTAGAGCTGGTATAGTCATCCAACTACTCATTGTATGCTTGGAACAGGGACTAATGAGCCGCCTCGACAAGAGCGTAAGTGTATTGAGACATTTCAACAGAGCAAATGAATTGCCCAAGAACGTTTGTTGATTTCAGAGCCTCGAAATTGTATGCTCGTTGCGCTTTGTACAGCCAGCCTTCCACCATTTTCTCCAACAGTGTCCGTGTCTGCTCCAAAGACGCTATCACGACTCAGTCCATCCCCTCCAGCAACTAAAAATAGAGACTCATTAGCATCCTTTGTGTATATGAACACAAAAATACGTGGCCAGAAACGTCTTATTACCTGTCAGTAAAAGAGAGTCGACATCTTTATCGCCAATATGCTCTACGTAAAACTCGATGTTACCGCCCCGATATCCGTTCATTTCATCCTTGGTCCCATCTTCACCAGTGAGATCGATGCTCAATCTCGAATTCCCCGTTATGTCAATTTCATGAGTAAATATTCCACACCGGACGGGTTCAGTGTTGCTCTTGCTCTTGGTTTGTAAGTTCTTTCTTAGCATGAGCGTCTCCACGTAGAGATCCAGTGGTGCATCTAAGCCCACTTCAAAATCGAGAGGTGTCTCAAAAACTAACACAATCAATGTTGGGTCAGTCACAGCATATGCTATTATGTCTGGATTGGGTGGTATAGGCATGACTAAGATTTGATTCCTTGTGTAGTGGATATGTATGACGATGATAAAGCTCGGGGAATCGATTCAGTTGAGTAAGTCTATGCTGGTACTTATAATCTTAGGTCTTTGCTTAGTGGCAACAAGTCGTTGTGCAAGCAATCAACCCTCATTGAGAGGAAACAACATTCAAGCCGAATTACTCGCGTATTTTTGGTTGCAATCGCTCATGAAGCTGGACAGTAAAAGTGGGTACCCTTTCAGCTGGTCGCTAATGTTCATGGCGTGTATCAATGCTTTAGAAATGGGGGAATGCAACACCCGCTTTCGGACACTATTTCAAATGAGTTCGATGAAGATGAAGGGGAGGTATGATATCTAATTCCTAGTGATATGGACTTTGAGTTTCATGGTCTGAACTACTTTTCGGCTCAGAGTGTGTTCGTTCCAGGAGTGAAATTCATAGAGGCTAAAACGGAAATGATGCCCTATAATGTTGTGCTATTGGGTGCCATGCCTGAACAACCAGAGCCAACTGGGTATTGCCTACTGCCTAGACGGACAGTCATGATGAGTGACTATGCAACGACGGATCCGATTGGTGATTTCATAGACGATATCTATAGTAAAGGATATTTCCTGGGAGACTTGATACACCATATTACAAACAATAACCTGGCTGGAGTCAAACAGGTCATTCAAGATAGAGGTTTTACAAATCTTGATCTTGCTGAAGTTCAGCAGACGCTTAAAAGGTCTTCGATCCCTGGTCCTGATTTTGATGTAAGATATGCGGGGGACAGCTATCAAATACAGGATACTTCCACCACTCCATTGAACAACTTGTTCGTTCATTCACGTTATCGCAATATTTAGCGTGCGTTCCTAAACTACTTCGTCTCATGGTTATGAGCACTGGTTTACTAACATTTCTCTAGTTGATGATCAAACAGTTCTATCTCAACAAACGCAATTAGATGGATCGGTCACCTTTACCTCTCATGATGGCCAGCGCTCAATTCAGGTAGTTTTCAACGTTGATGTTGATTCAGAATCTCCATGTGGTAGTGGAGGCTTCGAAGGCACCTCATGGTCTACGACAGAGCCAGAACAGAAAACCTAATTAAGTGGCCAGCGAGTATTCCCGTGGAAAGATTCGCCTTCTCTTCAACATCCTAAAGACGCACACATAGGTGATTCGGCCAGAGATGCAGAGGCACTTCAGTACCTCTCTGTAGCCATGGATTTAGCTGCACCAAATGGTGGACAATCAAAAGACGGCAGAGAGCCAGTGGAATTTGCGGAGCCTATAACCATTTTCTTTGGTGCCGTTAGCACTACCCTTTGCTATTTTGAATATCCAGAAATGGCTTAGAGTGAGCAAGGACCAGTTCGTTGATGCGTATGCGAGATGTCGAAAAATTGTTCTGCGAAAATCTGGCAATAGTATGGGGTATGGTCTGAAAATATCTAGTGTTCAAGATATGCAGAAATCTTTTACCAGCAAGTCAGAACCAAGCTTCAATGCGCAAATCAACGAAGGAATTTTCGAAAAAGAAAAAAACATTTGAGAATTCTCGACAGCAGATTCTTGAAGACATGAAGAAATGAAGCAGTGTCGATGCAAAGTTTAAAAGCAAAAAGAAATATGGCACGGCAATTTCAATTAGACGAGCAAAAAGCAATGGAGCTTATACGCAATGTCGTTGAAGTTTATGCAGATCAAGTATTCAAAGGTGATACGTATGAAGAGTTTATGGGCGCAATTGTAGATCAACTTCTCATCGTACACGATAAAGATGCCGCGCTTCGAGACGGAAAATTGATTGCTTTAAGAGTCAAAAAGCTAACAGAAACAATTACAAATTTTCAGGCGGAATGAATAAATACTCAGCAGGAGTTGAGAAGGGAAAGAGCAAAGGCACAGGAAGAACATTGGACACAGGAGGATATTGAGAAGATGGAGACGAAACATTAGATGGAAGGTGAGGATAATATGAAGAAGCAGACGGACGCTGATACGGAACGATCTGAACAACTAAAGGATGGTAGAAAGAGTGATGAGAAGGTTAAGGATCTCTTGGAAGAGGTGGAGAAGAAATTCTGGGAAGATGAATAATTTTGGATAATCCTTTTTGGGGTCCGCTGGCATGAAAAATAACACTTCGAACTTCAATATTTTTCACATGGTTTAGCTCGCGTACGAAGTTGTTTTACACAGGTGGCTACGTTGCACACCCCACCCACTCGGCAAACAGATGATTGCATAGAAGCGAACTGCCAAGAAAAGCCTCATATTACAATCTTTCTTACAGTCAAGGAAGGTTACATATAGTCAAATTACTACATCCACTGGGAAATCCACTTTTTCATAATTTTACCTCTTCTCACCACAAAGAAATCATGATTTTTCGAGATTCACGCAACATTCTCGAGACAAAATCATAGAATTGTTGAAAAGCTATCTTAATGGTTGCATGTGCCTTTAGTGGCAGGAGAGCTAAAAATTCCTTCACGTTGCAACAATATATGAAGACGTATATTCAAAGAAAAGCAACCGAAATTGAGCGAAAGAAGGCCCCCGAATGAGGAACCAGAAAAACGAAAGACATATTTCAACCATCAAAAGCCTATGAGCCCATTCACTCCGGGACATCGCCGGTCACAATATACTGCTTCTCCTTCTTAAAAGCCGAGACAGTCTCGTTGGATAAATTAAGCGTATCAGCTACTATCTGCTTGGGCGTCAAACCAACCCATTGGCCGACCGAAATATCTGTCACACATTAGCATCCTATCAAGTCACAACAACAAACAACAAACAAAACTCACCCGAGAAATGATCTGCCTGCAAAACTTCAATGAATGTCACATCATCATTTCCAGTATTCTCAACATAATGCGTCATTCCTTTAGGAATATATCCACAGTCACCCGCGCGGTAATCGAAAGTTCTTGCTAATCCCTGAGCTGCATATATACTAATTCTCGCACTGCCAGATATGAAAAAGTTCCATTCATCACTTGTGGTATGCCATTGTATTTCACGCATAGCTCCAGGATGCAGAGTTACGACTGCGGCGGAGAATTGGGCGGCGAGAGGAAAGGATTTTGGATCGAGTATCTTGATGGTTCCACCGGGAGTATCGTGCGTTAGAGGAGCTTTGGAGAGGTGATAGGAGTAGGAGAATTCTTTAGGCACGAGACCAGCTGAGCCGGTGATATTCTGTTCGGCTATATCGGTGGGGGCCTTTGTGCCGGGAAAAATGAAGAGTTCTCCAGAAGGGATGTCGGACCAGGCGGATTTGGGAAGTTGGAAGTTCTTGGAAAGGACTTCAATCTTGATGGTGTTAGCTCTTGATATCATGGATGCTAGGAGGTTTGTCTTACTGGGTTATGTGCAAAGACTTCTGAAACCAAGAAGGTATTATCCTCGGAGAAACTTCCGTCATCGAAGACCAAGAGAAATTCTACTCCACCTTTCAGTCCTTGCAGAGAGTGTGGCACGCCTCTGAAATGATGATTGTCAGTGAGTCCATAAGTTGAAATATCACGCCAAGCAACACCCCACTTCAAGCGAGCATAGCATGAGATAGAGCACACAGCGGCTTGGATCACTTACGGAGGGAAATACCAAACGTCACCCGCATTCAAATCATCGACGAAAGTCTGGCCTTCATCATTAACAGCTTGAAGTCTCACACTCCCATTGAAGATGTAAGCCCACTCTGCCGCCTTATGCCAATGTAATTCACGGTAACCGCCCTCCTCCAAGCGCATATCCACGCCTGCCATTTCTGTGGCTGCGGGTATATTGTCCACATTTTGTTGTCTCGACCAGCCTGCATGGTCAATTCCCAATTTCGCATGGCTGAGCCCCATGGGCCATTGTGCGTTACTCACACTTCCATGGTCGGTGCCCGGAGGTGCAAGTTTATCGGGGTTGAGGATATCATAAGGCGAAGTTCTTGGACCCGGGTCAGTACCACCTTTGGAGCCCCGGATAGGTTGAGGGTTCTGGATTGTGCTGAAGTCCAGAGAGGCGCCTACAGTTGCTGAATCTGTTTGGCCTGGTGCAAGTTCATAGTCGATATTGTCGGTATCTTGGGTGATAACAACATTTGAAGGGTTGTAACCAAGAAGAGGATCTCCAGTTGGTGCTGCCAGAATGCTCTGTTTGAAAAAGAAGGTGATCAGCAGAATCGCGTGGCCATTTATGAGATGCATGTTTGGAAAATTTGCTATGAAAGCTGAAAGTATTGTTTCGAGGAGAAAAATCGAATCTACTTCAAATCAAGCTGTGCAAAGCGATCTGGACACATACCTTTTTATCTCTCCAGCAAGCACACCTGCTTCTAAACCAGATTCTCTCGATTCTCCCTCTTAAATCGTCATTTCACCAATCCGACACTGGCGATACGGGGCAGAGCACCATTCTTGTCAAGATACACATTCTAAGGAGGGCTGGCAGTTTCTTGGCAATATTTTCCACACAACGACGGCATCACTTTAGTGAGTTTTGAACTCATTTTCGGTCATAGATCGGCGATAGATTAGCAAGATTCGGTATGTTTTGGAGACATGAGGTACAGTTTCTTTCCTATCACGATGGACACGCGTTTGATGCGGGGCAAGGCAAGATAAAATGGCTAGTTCCCTCCAGGTTGTAAACCTTGTAAATCGAAACTACATGTAGAACCCATGAATATGCTTAAATGTAGAGTTATACCATGTGAAAAATTCCGAAAACTTTGGGCTTAACCAACATCGCATTGCGTCAATGTTGCACAACAAGCCATTTGACAGGTCTCCAGTCACTTGAAGGAGATGATGAGCTCTAGGAGATCTGCATCAAGTCCGTTATCAGCAGTTCAGACCTTCTTAGTTGTAGAGACGCTATCCCAAAAGACCACCTGACTATTTCGAGCATTCAATAATCAGCCGGTCATCTACCTGCCGCTTCGGTACTTAGCGATTCGTGTGACAAGTACTCGCACTCGTCATATATCGTCGCTCCCGAGGTCGTCGAGGTCCAGTCTCTTAAAAGCAATTTTATTAGAATGGTGGTGTGGAAATCGGTAGAAATTAACTTACTAGTCTTTCAATTATTCGCTGTCTAGCCCAGACTATGCAATAAGCGAGTGCCACGCGGAAGCATCCAACCAATGATAAAATTCCCCGCCCATGTTACATTGGAAACCTTCAAGCTTTCTTGGGAAGCCTATTTTCTGGCTGCGACCTATAAATAAGCTTTGGACAAGCACTGCATTGGTAATCAACCAATCTTGGGGTTAATTAGTGATCATCAACTGCCGTCCAAATTGGACTCAAACCCAGCTGCCTGAAAGGGAAAGGACGGATCGGAAGAATATAGCGAAGCCGCTGCATCAATATAATTGCTACTCCCTTGAAAATTGCTATCCCAAAGACTCTGCGTGTCTTGATCAGTATATATTCAGTGGGAAATAAGTAATTACTTACCCAATCGAGACCGGTCGGATCATTCAAAATGTCTCCCATCATACCGACATTTGGTGTAGAAGAGTCACTTGGGCTTTCCTCGAAATATTTTGATTGCAAGGAATACATATTTGGAGTAGAAGAATTCAGGGGACAGCCTCCGTGCAGAATGGAAGTGGAAAGAACCTCGTGATGCTTAGGGGGTAAGGCATTAGGGTTGGATTCATTCGTCATCTCCCGTGCAACCTCTCTTTGAGTTTTTTTTACGGTAGACCAATGATCAACTTTGTTTACCATGGCCTTTAGTACCTTCGAAAATTTCATGGTATCTTCCGATGCAATCTCGGGATCATTCCATATTTGGTAAGATTTGGATAACGCGTACGAAATATCTTTGATAGTCCAATCGATTGGAAAATCCTGAAGGCTGATATCCATAGATTTCTCTTCGGCAGCCATCAATTGCCCAAGATAAAGACAAAGAAGTGTTGCAGCCAAGAGGAAATCGTAAGTCATTAAAGAAGATGTAATCCATTTCATGCCGCGTAATGAAGAGCCCTTAGCTCTCTCGTTGGTCATGTAATTTTGATATTGTAGAATCAGCATTGAAGAATCGACGCACGCTTTGACAGAGTAAGAGTGTTTCTGTAATGATTCGGCTTCCGAGAGAAATTTACGATGAAGAAAACAACGTGCTTTAAGATAAGTCATTTCGATTGAGAACTTCCTTACTTTGAACATAAGAGAACCGCTGTCGAGATCGTGGATGGATCTGACTCGAAAGAAATCTGGGACCTCTCCAAGAGCGTCAAGAAGCATTTTCTCAAGCCTCATGACTTCATCATTAGAGATAGGAGTAACAAGATTTGACGCGTCAAATATTCTACCAAATACCAAAATAAGGCGATATTTGGAGAGTGCGTGACCTATAGGTGACCCTTCATAGTCCGATCTGATGGGCGGTAATGCAAGCATATTTTCATGAAGATCTTCGTCTAGGAGGTGATTGGGGGGCTTTGTATCATACGTCCCTTCGCTTATCATACGAGGAAGTCCAACTTGACATGAAGTCTGAATATCAACAAGTAATATTGCACCCCACAGTCTACGTTGCATCTCACCACGGAAAACTGATATATTGGGGTAATGAGAGGCATCTCGATGCATACCCATTCGCATTGCTGCACGGACTACCATCCCAAAAACCATCCAAGTCCCAAACAGTGTATCCTTGCTTTCGCAATACTCACTGAGATAGTAAAGTAAAAGAGTGTCGACAGTATACAGTCCTGGCTCCGTGTAGTTACTACTTATGAGGCACTGTACAGTTTTTTCACGATATAATCTGGTCCGCTGTTCTGAGTCCCGTATAGCCGAGTCTGATAGTGCGGAGATTGGAACATCTCCTGTTCTTATTTCAAAGTTCGTGGCGAGGCATATTATGGAAAATAGTAATCCAATCCAGGAAATGGATTTTGAGTTTGGATTATCCCAAAACTCGGCATACTACAAAGGAGTTAACAAATGAGCAGATTTCTTTGTAAGAAAAAGTCCTCACCTCTTTTTTGAAAGTCGGTACATGAGTGATAACTATATATTCGTTAACTTTCAATCCAATCTTCGCATAACATGTTATCTCACAGGAAGCGTCGATCGCAGTGAAGTAGCGTTCGACCAAGTCATCAACCAGAGGTTTCGACGGGAGACAACCAAGAATAGATTCCCTCGAGGACTTCCTATTGTCTCCAAGAAGTAGCTCAGGCCCTTCACAAGCATTCTTTCCACTCGCTGTACCCTGTGGCCATTCCTCGGATCCCAATGAGTCTTTCAAGCCGGCTATCTACCGTACTGTCAGATACTCATCGGGTCATACGAAGAGGGATACATACATTCTCGAGTATTGCCGCCCAATGGGCCCCGCCGACATAATTTTGCACCTCATCTTCGACAGATATACGTCCGATGGAATCCGCACTTTCGGATATCATAGCATCATCAGGCCATGAAAGTCCTCGGGGCTTAATTGTAGAGCTCTGAAAGACAGATAAGATAGTTGGTTTCGACGGCGCTGTTGTACATTTGGCTTGATTCATCAAAGTCACGACGAGCTCCTCTAGATGTTGGATTCGGTCTTGAACATCTTTTGGTTTCTCCCTGATCCTCTGGGCATGAGATATCTTTGCACGTGAATTGTGGATATATGTACATGATGAAGATAAGTCTCTCTTGGAGCAGTTATTGCAAGGGGAGTTGCGGTCGCATTTTAATCTGGTTGGGTCAGTATAAGGTCGATAAGGAGTAGATCGGATTTTATTTGCATACTTCCGTGTTCTGCAAGAGGTGCATGACAATTGTGGCTTGAATCTTTGCCGACTTGCTTTGGTCGCAACCTTCTTTTCCCGTAAATTATCCTCTGTATTGTCTTTGGGGGGGAGAGACTGTGATACAGTGACTGACAGTTCTGAAGCAGTTGCGGGTACAAGATCGGCCATAATACTTACGCAACGTTAGTCTGTCACTAATACAGTATCACTAATGTTATACCAGGCAATCTTCAAGAAGGGAGATGGAAAATGGTAGTTAGAGAACAGATAAATTGGCCGACTGGTTGACTGGCAGCCGGAGGATAGCGGGGGTTCACGTGATGAAAATCAGGAACGACTAAATGATTTCCAACCTATCAAATTGAAGTAACATTATTTGAACGGAGATAGACATCAATCTCCGATGACCCTCCGCTGACCATCCGTCGATTATCACGCCCGAGGGAAGACTGATCTTATGATATTGACTTGATTTACGAGGTCGAAACAGCGAATCCTTAAGCAAGTTTTCCACACCCAAATTCCACGTTCACGACTTGGGACCCAAATAGACAAGCGACAAGAACGACCACATAGGAAAGAGCACGCAAGATTCTAAGGTTATATAACTAGTACGATTTCGGAGTCTCAATATGAGGACAGATGGCATGCACTTTGACTTCCTCTCCCTGTTATCTCAAATCCAGCTTACGGCATAGCATCAAAGTCTGTATTTTCCAGTATCGACATAATATTCCTTGTGTCCACAGGCATAGAACCTGATCGCGTCTTAATCGTTTCCGTTATCGTCAAGAAAAGCTTATGGATCGCATTGAGCAGTCCGGCACTTGTTTCAGAACTATCACGAGCAGGTGAAATGTTCTTGTTCTTCCAAAGTTTGGTAACGTATACCAGTGATAAAGTGCAGCATATTGGGCAGGTACATAAGTACCAATCCCAAGCGCAGGTTTTGTCAAAGCTGCTTGTTTGGGATTAGGCAGTTTGCCTCTTCTGGCACCACTTGCATATATGTGCTTAAAGATCTTATCGTAGATATGCATGACACGCATATGGCAGGAGGCTAGGAGAGAAAATCTGATACGTGATCAAATCCTTGATTGATGAAGATGTACTTGATCAGGTCGACGGTCGGGGATTCACCGTACATTTCGATATCAAAACGTCGTGAGTCAGTAATCAAGTTGAGGTGTATATTATCCACCAGAGATTGCGTCGGGCAGCAGGCGGGGTGTTGTAGATCGGAAAGCTAATGTAAGAGGCAGACTTGCCCAAAAGCGTATCCCAAGGTCATCATTGCCGTGAATGAATAAGGGACTACTTTCTACTATGCTCATACTGATCGGCACACATCCTTAACAACTGACTCACACAATGCTCCTCTGCATCCCCAATCATTCTAGTATGGTTATCAGGAGCATCTTCCTCAACAGCCAGCAGACGACTCATCTTTCTCATGGAGTGGGAGGTCTAGATTAGAGCTTCGTAGTTGAATAAGTGCATCGATTTCTTCACGGATTACTTAGCTACTAAAGCTGTTCTCTCTAGGTACTATTCTTGATGGGATGCCGAAACGTCCGTTGTCGAATCAATATAATGTTTCGGGTGACCATGTGAGGTCAATTAAATCTGGAAAATGCTGTATTCTGGGCAAATAAGGTCGAAATCCTTCCAGCCAATACACTTTTCAAACCCTTGAGCATCTGAAAGTCTAGAGATCTTCTTGATCATGTTATGACTGAGAAACGCTTTGCAACTCGTCAGCGAATAGTTTCGTGAATCTTAGTAATTTGTCTTCTTGAGATCAAAGCGACGCTTTCTAGGTGAGTTCTTTTATTTGGCTTACTCGCCGACTTCAACGGAGTAATTGATTGCTTTGTAGTCGAAGTAGAATGCCTTCACCCTTATTCTTATTGTCTTCGCTCTTGCCGTCCTTCTACATCAATCCGTTCCACTAGGAAGTTCCAACACCGCAATTATATTTGCTTTTCGCTATCTAAACCTGACTTAGACCATTATTCTCACTTCATTTTCCCACGTTTCCACATTCTCATGTTCTCATATTCATATTCATTTTTCATTCAAATATCAGAATCATCACAACGCCTCCCATAGTTGTAAAAATCGACTCAATCTGAATTCTGCATAACTGATGCGCGCGAATGTAACCACATGAGCACTTCTTATAATTCAAATGCACATTGGCATTTGAATGAAATGCCATGGTGGAAAATTGGGGATACTGCCTCGATCACGCGGGGCAGTATTTAGAGATCCAGGAAGGGACGTTCATCTCAAGTTTTGGAAATGCGACTGCATAAGTAGTGTACATGTGAATGAGACGGAAGCTGAATGACTGATATTTTTTGTCGATCGATTCACAATTGCGATCAAATTTCACACACATATTCACAGTCTCCATTGTCTTAATGTAACGTCTCGCTTTGAACTACCTATCATCTAAATATGTCTTTAGCTAAAGTCACGCATAATTGTTACCATCACCATCGTCGTCGCCACAATCTAATATCCTCCAGAATGTAGTATCGCGTAGTGCCCAAAATCCATCCTCCACGTTCTCGGGCTTAATGGCTGCGGTATCTTAATTGTCCCTGTCCAGATGGATCATTGCGATAAGCAGCTGGCAGATATCCGAGTGGGAGTTGACCTCCTTGGGATACAGAACCATTGCTGGTGCTCATTGCAAGTCGATTTGGTAGACCTCCTGGTCCATAGAGGGTGCTGAGCTGAGGTGTTACTCCGGATGAGTGATACCCACTGGATGAGCGATGGGCGCTAGATGAATGATGTCCACTGGATAACCGATGGGCATTTGACACATGGTGACTTGATGCTCCAGAAACATGATGAGAGGACCTAGCATTATTTAGAAGTCCCATAAGTCTCTCAAATTCACCTACACGCTTGAAACCCTCAAGGACGACCTCAACTGAGCAAGCTCGTGGCATACGTCCCTGACCTGCCAGTGCTTTTGCAATTCCTGGGTGAACTTCATGAGTTGCTGGTATGTTAGGTGGTGGGACTACGGGTGCCACTGTTGGGTTTAATCCGTGTTTATTGGCGTACTCCCATACTATGACGTCGGCATAATCTAAGCGTAAGCGATGTTCTGGATCATAGATTGGACCCCACCATCCAGCGTCAAGAGTTCCCATGTAAAAGCCGCCTTTACCTTCAGCCAGAAGGTCATCGGTGCACAAATGATTTCCGCCATTACAGACATATCCGTGCTTGACTCGCTCCCAGCCGAACCCAGCTGGGCATGGTCCAGCATAAACGATAAAGTTACGGACCCACTCGTCCTGTTTCTTCTTCTCTTCGTAGGTCATCTCCTGATATCTGGCTTGTTGTGAGGCCATTTTAACATCATGCTGAGACTTAAACTTGCTCTTCGCCTCTGGAGGAGCAATTGTTGCTGCGTGCATCATGTTTGGCTGTCTTGAGCTTGATGATGATTGTTGGTCTCTATTGAGCTGAGTACGATCATGAGAGCTTGAAGTGTGTCCACGGGAAGAAGAAGTCTGTCCATCTCTTTGAAGCAAAGTGTGCTGTTGAGACAAACCTTTATTTGTCGATTTGTTGTCTCTTTCGAGTGTGGTGTATGCTTTCGGGGCAGCGGAAGAGGATGGCCGATTGGAGGAAGAAACTTTGGCGTGAGAGGAAGAAGGCTTCTTGGAAGTATTGCTGTTTTGTGGAGGTTTGGTGCGAGTGTCTACAGGGCTGTAGACTGTTGCCTTGTCGTAAATGTCTCTGGACGACATGACGATCGATAGTTAGTGTCTTGTTTATTCGTTAGTCTATATCTGAAATTGTTGGTATAGGGTTCTTTTATTGTCTGTTATCTGTCGAATGAAGAAGAGGAGGAAGCCAGGAAGAAGGTGCCTTTAAATAGCAATATGAGAGATGGGGTACAAGCAGGAGAATATATTCAATGTGTGAATCTTTGAGTGAACTAGACAGAAAATGCTCTAGGAAAGTTTTGAATGGTGTCAACCTTATGTATATTGGATTCAGAATTACAATATCCCACTTCAGATTCAATTGTGATTGTTGAGGTTTACCATCTTGAACATTGCTTCTAGATACATTCTAATGCTAAAAATGAGTAGTAATGTGATTAACAGACAAGATACCACTGCTATTGAATATCTTGTATATCAGCCTTCGCTGGCTGGCTGAGACTTCCCCCCTTTTGAACCGAAGTTGACCCAGACCCAAGTTACTATTCTGACCAATCAAGGCTTCATCATCACTAAATGACGTAAGTGAAAGCTGTTTTTCGCATGTCTGAATGGTTTTGATTTAATAATTGAGTTGTTGACCAGAGGTCAAATATGGCTTAGAGCTTTCAGGAAGAAAGGAGTTGACTCTTTGACTTTGAGAAGCATCAAATCCATTCACTACGAATAAAATAGTGCACATTACATCAATGCAATCATAGTTCGATTGGAATCGTTTGGCAAAAGAAATGTTAGCGGTCAGCTAAATTTTAACTTCGCTTCGTATACATCAAAATACGGGAATGAGTCTCGGCCGAATCTCCAAAGTGACCCTTTGAATCATTATTTTCACAATTCAGGGAGCTCTGGAGGACTGCGAATGCTCCGAGAACAGGAAATGGCCTTTACAAATACCATTTAATATTGCTATACAAAAGCATTGAAAGCCTCTGCAGACTATGTGTGTAATCTGGCCTAAGTTTGAACTTTGAGTGCAGGTTCCAAAACGGGTGCAGAAGGGATGCATTAAAATTTGACTAGAAGTCGGTCAATCTATCAATGATGCATGGTTTTGCGTTCTGGAAGAAACCCGTAGAAGTGTGGGTCGTCGAACCACTCATGCCTTTTCAGAAAATGTTCAACGGTCTTAAAGAGAACTCAATGCAAGAAAATGTAGAAATGCATGGCCGGCGAGACTCCTCGAGGCCCCGCTACCTAGGTAGTTGCATAAAACCAAAAGCTTGATTCGAGTTCTTGTCGAATTTCGGACTTACCATTAGCCTCGAACTAATCTATATATGGCTGACGAGCTAGTCCAAATCGATGCATATACCCACCGACATTATCACCATTTAGGAATTGAAGCGTTACCGTGCGTGAGTATAGCAACAGCCTGCAATAAGCGATAATGTAAAGACTAAAGGTATAAGTGGAAGCTGGAAATTCATATCAATAGAGTGTATCGTAATATAACGAGAGATATATCCTGTGATTGGAATCACAAACGAAAACATGATGTTGAAGACCACCACCTTATTGGAAATTTCCATACGAGGATAGAATCTGATGTTTCTGAGGAACCACTTTTGTTCCTGATGTTCCTAGATGCAACCTAAGTCACTAACATCATAGGGCTGACCAACGACTCTCAGCTATCCAATCATTGAGAACATCCAAAGAGCGGGAGAAGCGTAAAGATCATATTCCGACACGAATCCGTCGTTCGGAGTTTAATCTATGTCAAGATCCTGAATGATTGCTGATGATAGGTATGTCGAGCGATCTAGAGAAAAATTTTCATAATTCTGATCGTACAACCATTCATACTCGCATGATTTATCACGCCTCCCAATCCCTTCTAGTCGTTTTATCACCATTTACATGAATTATTTCCCGACGAGATCAACATCTTATTTTCCCCTTCATTGTGTCACATTACCGAGTTAATATCAAGCGATCTATCACGTGCCAAGCTAACCCAAATCTCACCTAGCTGTGGAGTCGAGCGAGTAAGATAAGCACTTTCCGGAATTCTCTCGGCATTCCTAACCTTACTTTCATGAATTGAATGGAATTGTTCCACGACGACTATGAGTGAAGGACCGTCAGAACCAATCGAAGCCTCCATCACTCCTGATGAGGCCAATAGGATCATACACTCACATCGTAAAGTTCGATATGGTATGATGGATCATTTCCCCATTCTTGGCTGGATAGTGGCAAGTCAAGAATCCTTCATAGGCATCTTGCTAAACAAGTCTTAGGGACCGCTTGCTGGCCTTGCAGGCAACGCAAGGTCAAATGTGATAATAAACACCCATGTGAGAATTGTGTGAAGAGGGATCACGCTCTCTTATGTTCGTACAATCCTAAGAATCGGGATCTCGGGAAGACGATACCGACGGCTTCAGTAGCTGGAGTTAAAAGGGCCCGTACCCCAGATAGTGCCAGTGATTACTCTGGTCGAAAAGAGGACGGCTGGCCAAGAACAACAGGTAAATTCAAATTCATATCAGTCCTGCCAAGAAGTTCAAATACCGACAGAATGTATTATTTGAAGCTATACCATCTCTAATCCCCTTAGTCAGGGCTAAGTGTTCTTGTACCAAAATACTTGAGAGACCGATTGAAATTTGAAGTTAATATCACCACAGAAGAAGATGATCCAAACGAATCACGATATCTTGGGCAGAATTCAATCGCAGCCTTTTTGAGTGAAGAAGCTCAGATTGGATCATCACCGGGCGAAGGTGAACATGATGTCATTCGGAAAGACATTATGCCTATACTAGGTTTACAAATATCAACGGCTCCGTACCCGTTTATGTCGAAAGAGCATATGGATAAAATAAGACAAGACATTGCTATGGCATTGCCGTCGGACAAAGATGTCTTAAAGTTAGTAGCACGGAAGATGTAAGCAAGTTGTAATCACAGCTAACCTACCCATAGATCATTTCAAATCTACAAACAGATAGTTCAGCCATTTTGGGGCCTGTTGATCGATATTGATGACTTTGAGACGAAGTTGTGCATATACTTGGAAGATCGAGCTAGTTCTGCAAAAACTAGGAATCCAAATCAGAAGGGTGTATCGTCGGCCTGGCTTGGGATGCTATTCGCAGTCCTTGCTGTATCATCAAACTACGCTGAAACTACATATCACAGACGTGTAGCAGCCTCACAATCTTTCGGTAAGCCGAATGCTCGTATCTTTGAATATGAAAGGAGATTAAACTCTAATACAGTTCAAACATCATTCCATTGCCTGAGGCTATCTAATTTCTTGATTCGCCCCTCATTGGATTCATTGCAAGCACTTTTAATTCTTGGATTTGTTCTGGCCAATGATATGAAAGCTGAGGCTTCGTGGGCCTTAATCGGTCTTACCTGTAGACTTGCTCAAGCTCTAGGCCTTCATAGAGGTCCTAACGAGAGCGGTAGATTCACATCTTCCGAGGAGAATGACTTACCTCGTCGTAAACTATGGTATGCTCAATCACTCCCTGTTATGTTTCCCTATTGGTCTGACGAGTTTTAGGTGGACAATCGTCTGGCAAGATAGTCTACTCTCACTGTCATTTGACCGATCTCCAATCGCTGTGATCACGAGATGTAAAGTCCCTCTAAGCCCCATCGCTTTGACGGAGGGGTTCACCTACACAGAAGCTATGTATCATTTATGCCAGAGAGTATTGGATTTCGTCAAGAATGATTCAGTATCTGAGCCTGATTATAATCAAATCATCGCCAATTCAGTCGACGTTGAGAATATTCGTCAAAGAGTTCTCCCAGCACTCCGCATCAAAGACAAATGCAGGACAGTCCAAGATAGATTACAATACTTCGCACTTCGTCTTCACACATCTTTTGTCGTCTCAGTGTTATGCCGACCCGCTCTCCGACGCGGTGAAAATGGAATGTCTTCCGACCAGAAGGCAATCATCGCAGAAAAGTGTAAGCAAAATCTCACGGAAACTGTTAGGATGTACTTGAAAATGCACTCATTGAGCGTCATACCCACGCGTTCATGGGCATTCACCTATCACGGCCTCTCATCCGCAGTTCTTCTAGGGATCTTGGGTGAAACTAAAACAGATCCGGAAGTTCGACAGCTACAAGGCGATCTAATAAGTGCTCTGTCGGTTACTGCAGCAAAAGAACTACCATCCGCCATTCCCAAATCAGATAAAGATATTGAACTCAGCGGACCTTTATCAAGGGCTTTGGCTGCTCTGAAAAATATATATGATCATGGATGGGTGGTTGAGCAACAACAAATTCAACAACAATCGGTTGTGGTCCCGGAAGCTCAGATAATACAGGGTCCCGACTTTAAATCTACAAGTGAATATGAACAACAAAATGCTGCGCTTGCTATGGCTTCTATGCAAAATGGGATAATACCACCGTATGTTTGCTATTTCCCGATGACTGTATTCGGAACTCTTCACTAACAAACACACAGTATGGACTATGCGCAACAAGTGCCTATGAATAATATGAGTGGTGATATGCAGTCTGTAGAACAGACGTTAAATATGTCACCGATGGATTTATTCGATTCAATTTTCTGGGGTAAGTCATTGAAGTCACCTTCACTTCTTTTTTGTTGCTCATCTATTGATGACCCATTTCTTGCTATATGTTTCTTGATCCATCAATCATGCCTCTCGCTCAGAAGCAACCTGTACTGATATCCCACAGAACCCTACCCTCAAAATGGAATCGAAACAGGTTTCGATTATGCCGGTGCACCTTTTTATCCGCAAGCACCCTTTTAAAGGGTATCAATCTTTATTAGCTTTTTTAGCTTCTTTAGCCTAATTTTTTATAATGACAATGAGGATGATCTATTCGATCCGAGAAAAGTTTTAACGAGGGTTTGGACATGCGTCTTGGAGTAATACTGTCTTTCAGGAGTTTGTTCTGTTCACTGCGGGAAATCCGAAGGAAATTAGTATAACGATTTTTAATGAAATATTTGTGGATATGATTATTGCTATATAGTCTTCCTGATGTCGAGTTTGTGTACTATGTTGTGCACGTATCATAGACGATGGCCGTCGAGTCCGACAAGAGCACAAGCACTTGACATTCCAGAGCTAGAGACCAGAGTATCTATCGCATCTGAGATGACCACGGCAAGATTTTCTCATGTTATAATATTTACATGGCATAGACACGGCTCATGGTACATAGCATATGGAATACTCCAGAGTAAATCTATGCCAACTGGATATTACTCTCATTCCCATTCCCATTCCTCAAACCCCGGCCTCAAATTCATCCACCCCGCTAAACCAACTTCAATCACAATGCATCATACCCCTTCGCTCTACCCTACTACAGATTTCCTACAAAAAGGTCTCAAAACGAGATCATAGAAGACTAATCAAACAGGAGGATGTATCATAAGGCGGTGTTGCATTCACATTCTGCTACTGCAGGTATCTAGTACAGTGAGCTAGCTAGTCCAAGCGAAGCAGAAATTAAGCATGTCCTTAAGATACATATCCTACAACCCATGACGGTAGCACAATTGTATAAAACATGTTCAAATATAAAATAGAGAAAGAGAAAATTCTCATTAAATTAACTCATCTAATCTTAACTAGATTACCAAAAGCCTTTCCTTTTGATATCCATCCCACTGAAGAAATAATACAACTATCGAAAGAAGAGGAAGAAAGGAAATAGTATCCCAAAACGCCTCATGATCAATACCCAGACGTACGAAGACAGTTGAGTCATGATATCCCCAACTCAGCCAGTACTTTGATTTCCTAGCCAGGAAGTGTACCATTCTCATGTGTCCCTCGCATAAATGTGATATCCAGGTCCATCACGCGGTGCCCAAAACCACCCTACCCTCCAAAGACATCCGCAGATGTGGAGACAAAGTAGAAATACACAATCATAAGAGTTCTCCTTTCCTTTCCTTATTTCTCCATCCAAACCCCTGCCTAACAATAAACCAATTTGTCACAATATCCTTCACTTGATAATATGCGCATTATTGTCCAATGACTTGCCGACCGAAAATAACCAAAACCAGAACCAAAGTCAAAAACCAAAAACAAACCGAGAGTACGTGATACTTATACGCCTCTTTATCGAAACCGCTACCGTGCAAACACAAAAATTTAATCCCATCTCATGGCTAGAGATTGAAAAATCTATTCTTGCATAGCATTGCCGGCATTATCGTTTGTGGTTTGTTTTGGGCTTGAGATATCTTTGCCGAAGAGTGGACCACTTGCGGCAAGTTTTTTGGCAGAGGTTTTTGCGAAGAGAGAGCGAGGTTTGGTGTTCCTGGAGGGGTGCTGTTAGTATCTATTTTTTGGGATATTTCATGTGCGGTTCAGAGATCGCAAGATGGCCTAAGGTTGTGCGAATACCTCCATGGTTTGTGATGAAGAGAATAACGAAAGATGGTACTCACTTTCCAACTTGTTTGTTGCGATAAGCCGACAATTTGGCAGTAGTTGGCGATTGGATAGTATCTGATGGGGAGATATATTTCTCCTCTTGACCCCTGTAGATTGAGATGAATTAGTAAATGGTTCTTTGTTTCAATACTATCTGTAGATGAGTATCAAGTGAAGGGATGGCGAAGCTCAAAACTGCTGAATAGTGTGGGTAGAAGTAACTAAACAAGGGAATAACATACCCATTCTGTTGCATCTTATTCTGCAAAACTTGACGATGATATTCCATCGAATGAGGGTCAGCACCAATTGGAGTCTTCTTCTCATCAACTACACTGTTGACTTGATTCATAGCTGAGATATTGACGTCTTTGTTTGAGAGAACGTTTGGTGAAGACATTGTGTATATTATGTTCTTGTGAACGTATTGATTCTGGTGTAATTGTAGTGAAGGGGTATTTGATTGTAAGTCTTCTTAAAGGTTCTTGTGATTGTGAATGAAATCAGATATTGTAGAAGAAGTGAGGACTTTATGTGTTTTTATGTATTTGTTCTTCAGTTGTAGCGAAATCGAAAATTTATGATCTTCCTCTGGAATTATTTACGCTTGTTGTCTAGGTAACGATGAGCATATTTCTTCCGTTGCTCCACTTTCCCCTCCAAGCCCAAGCCCAAGTTGTATAATAAATAATAAATAATAAAGCATATAGTTATTGAAAGTCAATCATCACTGATGTAAAATAGGAACGCTTGGTTGGATTGTTTTGTTTGTTTGTTTTGATTTATACTGTATAATCGTTATTATGTCTACCGAGCTAGGTATATATCATTGATCTTATTCATGAATTATGCTCGTTATAACATGAATTTTGAACCTTATAAATCATATTATACCTCAATATAGTGGCCATGGGAAAATTCAGTCTTGATTCCCCTGTACGCGTAAACAAACTAAATCCCTAATCCTTTCTAACCTACAACTTGGATTTCTCCCGAACAGTTGGGCCTGGCTCTACATGCTTGACTCTGTACTGAGCAAACAGGGCTTCTGTAGCTTCCATTTGTCTGTGAATCTTCTGAGTCACCTCAGCTCCTCTTTTGTTTTCATTTCTACCCAACTGTTGTAGATGTACCTCATCTGGTCCATCGGCCAACCTCAATGTTCTGATGTTTGCCCACATGGATGCAAGAGGAGTATCTTGACACACACCAGCTCCTCCAAATGATTGTACGGCACGATCAATGACAGTTAATGCCATAGTTGGCACAAGTACCTTTGCCTCACCAATCTCCTTGAGCGCACTCTTTGCACCTCCCTCATCGATCTTAATAGCAGCATTAAGTACAACCAGACGGGCTGCATCGATTTCAATTCTTGATCTTGCCACCCATTCGAGGATCACACCATGCTCTTTTAATTGTTTCTTGAAAGGTGTCTTTTTAGGATCATTGATACGCATGAGCATCCAATCAAGAGCTTTCTCAGCCTACGAAATCATTAGCTTTGGGGAAAAAAATTGTAGACGTATATATTAATAGAACTTACAGCACCAATGGATCTCATACAATGATGAATACGTCCGGGACCAAGACGACCTTGGATAATCTCGAACCCACGACCAGGGCCTAGTACCATGTTTCTTGCTGGCACTCTAACATTCTTGAATGTTAGATGACCATGCCCGTGAGGCGCATCATCAAAGCCGTAGACTGACAACATTCTGTTGATAGTGATACCAGGGGCATCGGCTGGTACCAAGATAACAGACTGTTGCTTGTATTGATCCGAATTGTTAGGATCACTCTTAGCCATAACAATATAAACTTTGCATCGTGGATCACCAGCGCCACTCGACCACCATTTCTTTACAACAAATTAGCTGATTTGCCCCTGAACAAAATCAAAGACACTCCAACTCACCGAGCCATTCAAAATCCAATGATCTCCATCTCTTCTCATATCCATTTGGATATTCGTAGCATCCGAACTTGCGATATCCGGTTCCGTCATCAAGAAAGCCGAACGAATCTTACCGCTCAACAATGGAGCTAACCATTGTCTCTTCTGTTCCTCATTTCCATATTTCGCCAACACCTCCATGTTTCCGGTATCTGGCGCCGCACAGTTCGTAGCTTCAGATGCCAAATGTGATTTCCCCATTTGTTCTGCCATCAATCCATACTCGAGATTCGAGAAACCGGCTCCTTCTTTGTAGTGTGATTTTGCGAGGAACAAGTTCCATAATCCGAGACTTTGTGCCTCTTTCTTAAGGTCTTCGATGACTGAAGGATACGAATCCCATCTCTGAGTACCTTCGCCGAGTTGAGCGTGGAATATAGGGTCGGCGCTGGGAATTGTTAGTAGTGGTCTTGTGCGGTGAAGGACATGAAATCATATGGTATCGTGGCAAACATACGGTATACATCTCTCTTCGACGAATTTTGTGACAAGATCAAGTGTTTTCTTTGCATGATCACTCACACGATTAGCGGCCTATAAGAAGAAAAAAATTAGTATTTGAGGAGGCGTGATCGGATGAATAGCTCCTACGAGAATAGGGATCTTGTCGGACATGATGGATGAGATTTTAAGGGGATCTGGAGATATGTGTACGAAGTCGTGTCAGAACTAAAGGCGATTATAAATATAAGAACGATTGTGTATTGAACAAAACTTCTTATTCACAAATATTTAATTGAATGGAAGATCAATATAAGCATTGAGCTCCTCTTCGTTGTTAATGTATTCTTAGATCCAGTTACCCCAAACTATTCCACACAAGTTCGGCTCGGCCAATTGTTCTATACCGAGGCAATTCCCGGTGTGGGGGCCAGGAACATTATCCATCGAATCCTATAGGATGCGCTGTGCATGATGATCTGAAACGAATGGTACGAGAAGTCGGTCCATATGGTAAGGTTTCAACTCGTTGACCGAGGTGATATTCATTTTCTATTTAATCACTACCTTGACTCCATTCAGAAATGCAAAGCGCCACCGTTATTGAGGTATCCCTTCTTTCTATGACCCAAATCCGACCGATATCAGACCTTTAATCAGCAAAATAGTTCGCTCTTCTCTTTCCCTTTCCACCTGGTTTATTACCCTTGAAATGCTTTTTGCTGGTCAATTTCTTAATGTCATTTGGATCCACATCCTTCTCCAGAGCTATTAATGTTGCTTGTTTCCTCCCTGAGAGTAGTTTACCGCTAGCAGTTCCTTGCTCAGAGTACTTGTGACTGAAAGGCATTCGTAAATGTGCCGAATTGCCTTGCCCTTGGGCAAAGAAAGTACTGTCAAGGTTCTTTGACTTTGGTCCTTGGGGCATTTCGACAACATCAGAATCTACAACAGAAGCTTGATCATCGGCGGATGACGCCATAGATGCTAAAGCCTGTCGTCTCTTCTCTGGTAAATGACCTTCGTCATAAAGCTCTCTGTTGAATTCAAAAGGATCAATGTCCAATGGAGGAGGCTGACAAAATAGCAGCTTTCCATTGACGTAATCCTTGAGAATATGTCTAGCAGCTCTCGACTCATCCGGCTGACCTTGTCCAGTCCTTCTGAAGCCTCTTGCTCTAGCATATGCTGTTAACATCTCTTCGGCTGTTGGTATACCGGTTCCTCCTTCTTCCAAAGGTCGGGTCACAATTTTCATTCCATACAATGCCTCTAGGAATCCTTGGGGTATGCGGTGTGCTACTAAACCAGCTGGACCCACGAATTCTCTAAGTTGATCAATAGGTAGAATACCGTTGCACACGAGTTCTGCTTTGGTGGTAGCAAAGTTTGGGAAAACCAAACCAGGACAATCGCAAAGCAGGACTTTGTCACTAAGATGGATAGTTTGGAAATGCTTCGTTTTTCCTGGTGTCGATGACACAGACACCTTTTTGGCACCAATTAAGGCGTTAATGGTGGAAGATTTACCAACGTTAGGGTATCCGACGAGACCAATTTGAGTCTTTCTAGTAATTCCTGACTCAGAATCTATATTTGTTAGCTTTAGATTTAATTGCATGAATATGATAACCCTTACCTTGAACTTCTGGTGCATGAACCAAGAAAAGAGCCTCCAACTCATCTACAGTCAAGATTCTGGTACTTTCGGTCTCTGTGATTTCCTCGTCGCTTTCCTCGTCATCTTCCTCAACAGCTGTCTCTTCATCTTGCTCATCGCTGTCCGCATCACTATCACTATCATCATCTTCATCGTCGTCAAGCCCAAGTGCTCTCGCCTTCTCTGCTAGCTTTGATGCAGATGCAGAAGCCTCCGTTTCTTCTTCAGTCTCCTCTAACATTGCTTCATTTAATTCTTTTGCCAAAGCTGCTGAGAAAAACTTGTACTTGATACCGGCGGCCTCAAAGTAATCAGCCCAATGTTGTCTTTGCTCCAAAGTCAACATATCAGCCTTGTTTACCAATAGAAGGTTCTCTTTGCGGCCATCAACATCTTTAACATATCTTTCCAAATCTTCAGATCGAAATAAAAGCGGATTCCTGGCGTCGACAATTTGTACAATAAGATCAGATCTCTCAATAACTCTCCACAACTGCCTCCAAACCTCCAAATTGCGCTCAAATGGTGTCATCAATAAATCGTTATTTTCCTGAAGTTCAGCTAGTCCTCTTCTCCACTCGAGAAGACCATCCCTCTCCATTCTATCAAGTTCCTGTGGAGTCGTGGTAGAATCCCATTTCGGTCTTCTGGGAACTGTGAGTCTTTCCTTGTGTACCTTCTGTTTGCCAACTGCAGCTCGTTCTTCCGCAGCCGATAACAAGTATGGATTCTTTTGATCGGTATGAATAATTTTAACGTTGTTCATCTTCTCCGCTGTGAAGTCTGTGCCGGCTAACTCTGCAGTGGACAAGAATTCATCGAGTGCTGCCTGCTCCGTCACCGATCGCATCTTGACCCAGCTGGCCTCTTGCTTTTCGTTTGTGACATACTATATTCTTTCAGCATAGAAAGATGGATTGATCGTGTTTATACATACAGTTTCTCCAGTGTCTTTGTGTGTTCTCTGAATTCCGGTCGCTGTGGTCTTTTTGCGATCTGCTCCTTTGCCCTTCCCGAATCTATCATTCATCAAACTGTTCCCCAGTCCAACAGCATTTTTGGATTTCGCGAGAACCATCGTGTTTACTTGTATCCGTTCTTCAATAGGGTTGGTTTAGTTTCGATAAACAACAATAACAAAAATAAGAATGCTACAAGAAAGTTTCAATAATTCGCGGAGTTGAGAATGAATTATTGAATTTTATAATTTTGCAGTGGAGTTTTGATTATCTCTGATTATCGAGCAAAAATGAGGGGCAAATTTCTCGGCTTAGTACTCTGATAAAAGAAGCTTGACCCGCCTAAAAAAGCAGCCCCTCGCACTAAGAAAATTAAATCTTTCAAGTTTCCACACATGTAGATTTATATAATTCTGTAAACCCCGAATTCCTCGTCCGAGCAGAAAGATAATAAAACCATTTCTCAACATTACAACTACTAAACAATACCGGCAATATGGCTCGAGGAAAGTGGATTGATAAGAAGAATG